AAACAAATTGATTTTTGATAGGTTACGATAGGTGATGTACTAAATATTTGATATAAAAATGTTATGATTGTAAATTTATGTTTTATGAGAGTTTTCTAAGAAACTTATTTTCATTTCTTACGTCCGACATCATGTAATTGCTTAGTTGTTAAAAAAAAAACAATTAACTAATCTAAGCTAAGAAACAATGTGGTTAGATTGGAATTCTTTAACTTTTTTAATTTCAAATGAGGAAAAAAAATAGAATAAAATTTGAAGAATTTTATCTAGTTCATTTCTATAGAATACGCAACAAGAAATTTAACAATTTTGCATCATTGATTTTTAAATACTGAATATCTCTTAAAATAATAATGCTTATTCAAAACAAACATTATTTAAACATTTGACTTTAGATATTGGTTTAAAGAAAATATGATCAATGAATTTTATAAAGAGTATTTTTAGGATAAAATACAGTATAAAGTAGCCCCATATTAAAAAATTAGTTGATGTATAATCGCCTGGAATTATTTTTTTCTTAATGGGTAACTCTGTATTTGCCATTTGATACACTTTGTGCAAAACTTTAAGTAACACATTGAAAGACTTTTTATTCAATAAAGACAATGTACTCGGCAAGCTAAACATATTATTTTCTCCACATCTATCTTAATATTTTTAATTAATGTTGTATCAAAACATTTAAAATGTACTAGATATAAAAACGAAATCTAGCTAAGTTGTTAAAATAAATTTAGTCAAATTATTTTTTCAATATTACATATTTTAAAAAAATAACATTTTAAATAAAAAACTTAACATTATTGAGACTTTTCTTGTAACCACCCTACACTTCGAGGAAAAAAGAAAGAAAAAAACATGCTATTCTGGAAATTTTAAGTTTTTCACCTGGAAAAATCGGGGAAATTTGAAACCTGATTTGAGTGACTACCCTGTTTAACATTCCAATTAGTTATTTCTAAGCTCACGAGGGTTCCCATGACTATCCCTCTCTTCCCCATTTTTGTCGTTAAATCAGTTTTTTTTAATTTCATGGTTCTCTGAACATTATCCCTTACCTACCCGACTGGTTCAAAAATGGTTCCCAACATATTTCTCTCTCTCACTCAGGTAACTAACATCATTTTTGTCCAAGTCTCGGACCCATAGAAAATTGTTGGCAACATGACAGGTTTATACAACAGACATTTTGTTTTCTTCAGCACATTTCTTTGAAAAAATTTGATCATTTGAGAAATAACAATGAAACAAAACTATTTTGAACGATAACTTTTATTAATTTACTCATGATGCACTTTTACAAAGTTTTTGCACTAAACTCTTCTGTTAAATGAAATTTTTGCACTAACTCTTCTGTTAAATGAAATTTTTGCACTAACTCTTCTGTTAAGAAAAATAATGTTAAAGAATTATTTTTACAAAAATAACTATGATACAAACATCAGACAAAAGCTGAGTTATTGAAATGTAATGAGAAATCAAAAGTTACTCAAAGCACCATTTTGTACAGATTTTTAAAAGCTCATAATTTTTTCTGCTTATCTCTATGAAATTCTATGGTTAACCAAGTCTGATACAATAATAGTGAAAATAATTTATGTTTTGGTTAATGCATAATAACACATTAAATGTTCAAGTTAAAATTATCTACAGAAACAAGACTAAACCCTAATTGTCAAGCATATAATTTTAAAAATTCTTAACCTATAAAAATACAACCAAATTTTAACAATTTGTTAAGAAAAGGATTTTGAAAATGAATAACTTCAAACTGCCATTAATAATTTTTATCATTAAATTTATTAACTATAGACAATGAAAAAAAAAATAAAATACTTATAAGCAACAAACTTAAAATAACTTAAGTTTTATGGTGTTATGTGTTTCACCACTTAAGAACTTTATTTCAAAGACATTGCAACAAATTTTACTGGGGAGTATTTCCTCATACCATAAATTTTTATCCTGAATAAAACGAATTTTTAGAGAAAAAAGTTCATAAGGATTACTTAAAATCTTCAGCTTGATATGCAGCTAGTATCTCAGTGTTTCAAAAATTGAAAATTCAATTTAAATAAGTATCTATAAAGCAATGGAAGAACTAAGTTTCTATATATAATTAAAAGTTCAGACACATAGGATTATATGTAGATGCTTATACTAGCTAAGTCTCTTTAAAAAAGTTTCAAAAAGGAAATAATAAAATATAAGGTGCTATAATAAATAGCGTCATTTTATCAAGTGACAATAGTCCATTAAATTATTAAATAAATAGCTTTAATGATAAAATTTACTCTAAAATATAGTTTATATTTTTAAAATACACTCTTTTCTTATTAATTTTAATTTAGATAGCATTTGTTAATATTTTATTTCATTAACTCTTAAATTTGAAAATCCAACTTGATACTGAATTTGTTCATTAATATATTATTGGAAGGAAAAATTTAAAAAAGTATAAAATTAAAAATTTAGTAATTCCTAATACTAAAAATTCATGCATATAATTCTTATATGAAAAAGCTATATTTTAAGTAACTTAAAGGGGCAAAACTTAATTGTTTAAATATAATCAAAAAAGCGTCTTTATCCCCTTTTTAAAAGATCATTACTTTTCTTGAAAAGCCTTCGAATATCCATGAAGCTGTTGTCATGAGGGTTTAAACAGTCTTTTCAAAACTTAGAAAGCTAGATGCAATACAATAAGACTTATTATAGTGTAAAGTGGATATTCGTAAAAACATTAGATACAATTATCTTAAAATGCTTTTAAGAATGCAAGTCTATATAACGATCGAAATTGAGGACTACACAAATTCTAAGCATTTAATACAAAAATTCGGCGTCAATTAGATGACAAGTAAATAATTAATCAACACAATGAAAATTTATTAACTTTTTTAGAAGCTTCATAATAAGTAATTATCAAATGTGGCTACTATGTTAAGTGTGCAGAACCACACAGATTATTTTTAAACTTCTTTCCCAATTAAGATAAAAAATAATAAGTCGTATGTTCTCACTAAATACCCAACAATCATTGAATCTCATTTCTCTCAGTCTCAACTACACTTCCTTCCATTGAAGAATTTTTTTATTCTATACACAGACTCTTAAAGAAATTCTATATTTCAATGCAATAAATCAAATCATTATTAAAAAATAGTATGTTTTAAGTTTTTCTAGAAAAAAAGAAAACAAATGTTAAGATAAAAATTTATTCACAGTGACCTTACAAATCGCTGGTCGGCAATGTGCCTAAATATTTTAGAAAAATTTAACAATAAAGCTAATAAGCAACTTTCTATTCCATAAAATGCTAACTCTAAAAAAAGTCCTAGTGCCTAGAAATATTGCATTTTCGTAGACCTCTGGGTATTCATTTATGTCTAATATTTTTTTTTATTACTATTTTCAAAAAGCATTTTAATTTTCACTGTTTTATTGTTAGCAATAGTAAGCAAAAAGCTATTATGCTAGTTTCCATTCCATAACATGACTAACTCCAAAATGTTGGTTCTAGTGCCTAAAAATTTTGAGACACCTGGGTATTCAATTTATGTCAATTTTTTTTTTACTATTTCCAAATAATTAAAATTTTTAGTGTTTTATCATTACTTTTTTTTTACCCTAGATAACTAGCACTTGTCTAAAAGACTATCAACCACTGGCAGTTTTGCCAATTCAAGGCATTCCTGTTATGCTCACACTACCTCATCCACAGTACCTTCATAATTAGAAAAATGAGTTATTCAAAGGTAATATGCATGGCTGTACACTTATTACTTTTTCAAGATTTGCTGTAATCATCGTTAACAGTCGACGTTTAGTTCAATCAAAATTAACATTGATAATATTTTGAATATTGAAAAGCTCATAAGAGACAAAACTAAAAGTACTTTCTGTCCATTGAAGAAACACAGAATGCAAAATATGTATAGCAACTACTGCAACAAGGACCATAATTTTACCAAATTACTATTTTTTAATTGAAACAGTATAATACTTTTATTTAAGTTACATTAATTTGTTTGAAATATATAAGAAAATAATATAATAGACATGTTTTATATCTATAGTCTATTAGTTACAAATTAACACTTATTTTAGTTATTTAGGGTTTATTCTATGATTTGCTTTGAATTTATGACAGAGAGACTTTACGACTTAATCAATTCCTCTTTAGAAGTAGATCAACCAAATTTATAGTCATGCTTAAATTGTTCTCCACTATTTTTCTTTCCCTTCTGTTAACTTAATACAGAGGGCTAGTTTATTTTAAACTTCAGCACAGTTAAAAGCAATGGTTTTTCAAAAAATTTTCATTTGTGAATTACTATAGGGATTATATAGAGTTAGCCAAAACATTTTGAATAAAATTTCTATACAACTCAATATCCATCTGGTACATTAAAATATTAAAAAATTACCATGTAAATTTTTCAAAAATAACAATATGCTTCCTCTGGAGTTGATAAATACTTGTTAGATTTTAGGGGTAACTTATTTTATATCAAACTAATTTCACCTAATCTATTCACTCTAGTTCAAACTAATTAATATTAATACAAGCTTTAAAATGTCATTCCAGCTACTCTGATTAAACTTTATATAATATTTTTTTAGATAAATATCTAAGTTTCAATATTTGATCATAATAAACAATACATAGATTTGTTATATGAGGGTTTCTTTAATCAATACTTAAAAAATAAAAACTGATTTTTGGAACTCTTTAATTAAAAAGGCACCAGCTGCTTCTTGTGAGAATATATTTTACTTGTTTATACTGAGCAAATCAAAATAATCTCTGAGAGTGACAAGAACTTCAAATCTAAATTGTATAAAAATTCCAAAGAAATAATGAAAACTCCTAAAGATTTTCTAGGTTTAATACGAACTTTAAATCTAAAAACCTGTATAGTGATGTAATTCCCAAGAACATGACTTATGTAATACAAAATTTAGAAAAACTATATTTAAACAAGACATCATCCTAAACTTTTAAAATTTTAATTGCATAGTAGAAAACAGATGTTTTGTACTCTTTAACACATCACAAAATTTATGAAATTTACCACAATTAACACGTTTGATAATAGGTGACAAACATTTCATCCAAATATCAAAATCAACATTAAAATTTAGAGTACACAACAAATAGTACAACAGAGACAACAGTTTAAAGTACAACACCTTTAAAATACTTTTCAATATAGTTAAAACTCTAACTTGTATCATACAAAATATTTATAAGGAGACTTAGATGATTTTAAAGCTTAAAATCTGCTTTTAAAATATATTTAGTCAGTAAAACAAATGCTATAATTAAGCAAAGTTTATACAATTAAAATCTAGGTTTTAAAAACTAGCATGCAATTCTAACATTTGAAAACATTATGCACTACAAAAATTCTATTGTCAAACTAAAATATGAAAATCAACATACCATAACAGTAGTTTAAAAAAAAAAAGGTAACCCTAAGAAACATTGAAACTTTTCGAATATACTAACATGAACATGTAATAAACTTATTTAGAGTAATAACAAAAAAGATTTATCATCTACATGTTCGATAATAGGTGACTAACATTTCATCTAAATATCAAAATCGACATTAAAATTTAAAGTACACAACAAATAGTACAACAGATTAGAGTACAACACCTTTAAAATACTTTTCAACATAGTTAAAACTCTAACTTGTTTCATACAAAATATTTATAAGGAGAATTAGATGATTTTAAAGATTAAAATCTGCTTTTAAAATATTTAGTCAGTAAAACAAATGCTATAATTAAGCAAAGTTAATACAATTAAACTCTAGGTTTTAAAACCTAGCACGCAATTCTAACATTTGAAAACATAATGCACTAAAAAAATTCTTTTGTCAAACTAAAATAAGAAAATCAACATACCATAACAGTAATCAAAAAAAAAAAAAANAAAAAGCTAACCCTAAGAAACAATGAAACTTTTCGAATATACTAACACGAACTTCCAATAAACAAACTTATTTATTTAGAATAGTAACAAAAAAGATTTATCATCTTAAATATCAAAAAGCAGACAACTGCTATACTTTCTTAACAGATCATTGAGACCAATATGCCCAAGTAAAAAGCCTTCAAATGTAACACTAGCAATTTTAAGTAAAACTGTCAACATGTTAAAACAAAAATTACTATGCATGCATTCCTTTTTAGGTTAATTTTGAACTTAAAAATATTTCATCTTTAATCTTTTTTTAAAATAAAAAATAACTCTAATAAAAAATATAAATTTTGAGTAATAAATCAATAACATATTTAAAAAATTTCATAACTTTAAATTTATCTTTACCTCAAATCATGAAAAAACATGCAATTGAAATAAATCTTATTAATTTGAATTTAAACACATTGATTGTATATGTTAAGCTTATTTACAACAAAAAACCAAATAAAATATTCACAGATTTAAGAGCACTATCAAATTCAGGTTTAAAACTTAATAAAATATTATAAAATTAACGCTGGCTAAAAATTTTCAAGGTATAAAATTTAAACTTAACCAACCTCATTACTTAACAGAACACGCATATTGCCTCCAGAAAATTTTTTCACTTTTCACTTACTATGTTTAAGATGAAAGTAACAGAAAATCAAAAGCCTCTTCATTACTTCAGTCCACATATATGGACTTTCACTTCTTAGCTTCTAAAAACATGGCAAAAGAAAAATTTATTGGTTTACTCTCACTTAAAACATTTTTGGACATTTAGCGTTCAAGGGTTTCTAATAGATGCAGAACATACAAGTCATTTAGATAGAATTTAACATAAACAGAAGTGATATTCGAAAAATGACACTTACACTAATGAGCCCAAAAACTTAATTTTAAATATTGTATAATTTAGTTATTCTAAATTTTTTTTTTTTTAACTTGGTAAATGTGTGATCAGCATGAAACTTGAAAATTTTAATTTACTTAATATTTAAAAATAATGCCGTCAAGAACATGCAGGTCCACATATGTGTATAGCGAAAATAATGACAGCATAGCAGTCAAATGAAATCTCACAGTATTATGAGTATTCAATTTTATGTCTATTTAGTAATGCTTTTATATGTATTTTAATTATTAGTTTTATATTGGAACATGCAAAAATTTCAACTTTTTTTTCTTGGCGATAAAATTTTTTTTAGGATTAGGATTATAAAATATTTATTTTATAATTAATGTTAAGATTCTTTTCAATAATTTATTTTGCATGGTTTGCATAATTAAAATAGTTTTGATACTGAGAATTAATGTAGTATTAGATAGTATTCAGATAAAACTTTGTATTTTTTAAAATGCATTTATTTTTCTAAATAATCATTAAATTTATTCCTTGTATTTAAATGAATTGTATTGTATATAACATACCATAATATAACAATATGCATGTCTGTTCCTACAATAGAGGTGCAATTTAACATTTGAAATATTTATATTCTTTTACTTAAAGTTAAAACCTGAGGTCAACGTATGTGTTACTAAAATTAGTAGCCCCTGGCAGTACAATTCATATTTTGTTTATCTTATGACAGTAAAATAAAAATTTGAAACTGTAAAATATTTGTTTACTATAATCCTCTTCCAGTAGTGAAGAGGACAATGCACCAAAGAGATAAAGAAAGGAGAAGGCAAAAGTTAACTGCATTTACTGCTATATACAAAACCTACTTTGACATATCTTCAAATATATATACAAATACATATTTCAAGTTATTGATATGTCATTGTTACTATATTCAATACAGCAATTGTTAATAAAACTCTTTAAAAAACTAAATCACATATTTTTTGTGACAAATTCAATATTTAAAATAATAGATCTCTTGTATAATGTCAGAATAATAGCACCACTGCACACTGTAAAAAGAGGATAATACATAGTAATCATAAAAAAATAAATCAATATTTAAACATAAAACTTCTAAGAAAGCTACATATTTTTCAAACTAACTCTTCTTCTCAAAAAATGGCCAAAATTTACAACAATAACAGATTTATCTTTTAGTTTATACCTGTATAAATGTTTTAAAAAATATCTCACCATAAAAGAGAAAGACAAGTTATGATATCAACTAAACTTAACTCAGTGGCACTACAGACCATAGGCCTACTGTGCCAATCATGATATCAACTACATCACTCAACTCTTCTCTTCTTATAAAAATCACACCTTGGTACTAGCTACTTCACATTAAATTGTTCAAATTGTAACATAAACTTAAACATAACATAATTCACGGTGAAAAAGATTCCAAAATAAAAATATGTAATGAGATAAAACAGTGAAATAAAATGTAAAAATATCTACATGAAACAATATTTTAAATGCTGATGTTAAACCAAAATTGCACTAATCAGCAAGCTAACAAACCAAAAAGATAACATTTACTCACTATCGAAAAATGAACAAACAAAACAATTTAATTAAACTACTTAGATGTATAACAAAATTTGACAATTAATCAATAATAAAACTATGCGTTAAAAATAACAGCTTTATCTAGCACTTTATACATTTCTAAAATAATGAAAGTAATTGAAAAGCATAAATAATATGCTTTTCAGTAAACACTTTTATAGAAACAGAATTTAAACAAAAAATGCTCTTATGTATGGCATGCAATGGTAATTGTCATCTTCATGACTGAAACTTCTTCAATTTGTTTTTTAACATATCATTTTCAGCCTTAAGACGCATAACATCTTCTTTTAATGAGGTATTTTCTTTCTCCAAATAAGAAGCCCTCAGAACAATCTGATTTTCCTTGACACGTCGTGCTTCACGTGAACGTTTTGCAGCAATATTGTTCTTATGTCTCCGAGCCCAATACTTCTCATCTTTCAAATTATCTGGAACAAAATTCTTTCGGGACTTTTTAACAATAGGCTGTGGTTTCAAATCGTCTTCAGGAAATACAGCAGAAGTTGGATCGTAGTGCTTGTGGCCAGGGGGTGTAGCTAAGGCCAAATCAGAAGGTGAAAACTTAACTTCAACAGAGCTACTAGCTTCTTCATCCGAAAAATCTTGCATGGATTGCAGGGATGAAGTTTTCATGGTTGCACTAGTAGTAGATCCTTGATGAGATGAGTCAGGAGCTGAAGAAGAAATAAAAATTTAAGTTTAGAAAAACTTAAGAGAAATTTATCATCCTACATCATACATTATCTAAAATGAGTTTTAAAATAGTAACAGTGTCATGATGTTAATCAGCATGAATTGTTTCAATTATATTTCATAAAGTAGGATCGTTAATCAAAAAAGATATATCATAAAATGGGGTAACTATATAGATTTACAAAAATTGTCATTTGGTTGTGTTCCTTTTGCTGCCTGTGATAAACAGGAATGCACGAGCTATGGCCTGCCTGCAGGCTAAAAGTAACTCCTGTACTCTCTAAAATATTAATAAAAATACCGAAAGAAACTGTAAAAAATATGAAAAAAAGTAAAAGAAAAATCTTTTGCCAGTTATTGGGCCTTGTTCAGTAAGTTACTGACTTATTTTTGTCCTTCTCAGAGTACCAGATAGTAACCTTAATTTAGCAAGTTCTGTTTATGGCAATGGCTCATTGTCATCAGCAATTTCTTAAGAATTTTTACAAGAGTTATTCGAAAAGTAAATATTAAAGCATAAAATTTTAATTCTGTTAATCTGATAACTCATCAGAAACAGTAAAAAAATTTTGTTTTCTAATTAAATAATAGTAAAAGTTAACTATGAAATAAGTATTTCAGACTAAATATATTTATTTAATTTATATTATCTTTACTATGAGGAAAATTTAGTTATGAATATGTAATTTATATTAGCAATTTAACTAGAATATAAATACATCCTGAACTTTTAAGATGTTATTGCTAGATCTCAACATAAAACTTCCTAATTTCTGTGGCCTGCTAACAAAATATGGTTGCACATTTCTGATTTACAGTAATATTAATACGCTGAGTCAATATTATAAGGAATATAATTTATTTACAATTCAAAATATCTATTAGGTTGTTCCAAAAGTATTTTATTTTATTTATTTATTATTATTCTTTTTTCGTTAATAAAAATGAAGGATTTTCCTATAAGCAATAATTATTATTGAATCATATATTGTCTATTTAGGACCAATATTTTTTGCCACCTTCCTAGCAGTAGCATGATAACATACACATAAATCTTTTGTTCCTTGTTGAAGTGGGTGGCCACTCAAATCAGGTTTCAAATTTCTCTGATTTTTCCAGGAAAAAATCCTAAAATTTCCAGGTCAATATGCTTTTTTCTCCCCTCATGAAGTGTAGGATGGGTACAAGAAAAGTATCAATATTATATAATATTTTATTTAAAATATTTCATTAATGTTATCTTATCATCTCTGACTCAGGGGACAGAATGCTAGCCAGGTCACTTCATTCCCATGAGGTCACCTGGAAAGGTTTTCTATTCTTTAAGAAACCATTGGAGTTTCATGAGGCATTTTAGTTTAACAGGGTTATAATAGACCAAATTTTGATGCAAGCAAAGTATTGCTAAATTGATGGTATTTCAACTGTTTGGCAATAAATTTTTGTCTAAAAGTGGGTATAACAGAAGGTAAAATAATTTTAATTAAGAAAATTAGCAGGGGTGAAAGTTTAAAAAATTGTCAAGACTGAAAATTTCAAAATTAAAAGTGGGCGTGTCCTGTCCAATAATTTTAAGTGAATAAAAAATTATATATGAATTCTTTTCATAAAAATTGTGAACAAACTTTTCAATAAAAATTGAAATACACAAAATGGAAACAAGGCTTATAAAAATTCCACATTTATTTTAGCAAACCTACTATTGTTCAGGAGTATAAACAAAAAATGCAAAGTAATTAGTTATTTTAAGCAAAAATAGACCTTAAACAGGAAGGTGAAGTCACATGTTGCAGTGCCGTTTTCCCCTACACATGCATTAGAGAAAACCGGTTCTCTTCTCTGACGTTAACCTACATATGGAACCGGGGAAAAGAAAGAAAGAATGAATCGGTCGTTTGGGACTTTTCCCACTGAATCCGTCTACCGCATAAAAAAAAAAACGAACTTAGAATTTACTTATAGTAATATTCCGTTTCGCTCCGTCTTGTGATATTTTTTTATAAAAAGACGGAAATCCGTCAAAATACGGAAAACTTTCATCCCTGAAAATTAGTAAATAATTCAAATTAGTAAAATTAAGAAAAATAAAATAAAAAAGTCCAGCTTTTCTTACCTCGAAAAAAAAGAAGACTTTCTTACCAGCTTTGCTAACCCAGAGAAAAAATTCCTTGATAATTTCAGGTTTTCCAGGTGGGTGGCCACCCTGCAAGTTTTATAGTCTAAAAATTTCTATAGAGACTGAAGCCTTGTTGCAGACAATTCATTTTCTGTTCCCAGTGATGATGTGCTTCAAAAATGGATAATTTTAGAAACACATGTTTCAACCTTTGAGATTATCCCTTAGGCTTTTCAAATTGTCATGAACCGTAAAATTTAATAAATTTATTCTCAACTATCTCATGAGTTGTTATTTGTTAGTTTTCATTAATTAATGCCTTTATTGTATCTATAGCAGCTTAAATTGGTATGGGGCATCTTTGTGCATCTTAATCGAAATTTTGCAAACCAGTTTTCTCACTGGCGTACTGCCAATTGGGGACGTAACGAGTGTTCAGCTACTATTCGGCCATTTTGCTGAATATTTGGTTCGCCAAATGTTCGATCAAATATTTGGCAAAGTATTTTCTTAGAAAACCATTTTTCAACAAAGTATTTTTTTTTAAATTTGAACAGACTTAATGAAGAATAATCAAAAATCATATTTAATTTTCTACTATACATTACATAATTAGAAATAGTTTTTACACATACTTGCTAAGTTTAAAAATTTGTACACAGCTTACAAATTTATGTTCCGGATAACAAATGGTAAGACAGATAACCGGTAATATAGAAAACTGTGATTTTCAACATTAAAGTTACACTTAAAGAACTGAGAATTATTATTATTATTATTTTTTTACCTTTTCTTTTTTAACTTTTGCTTTTATCCATGATTTTATAATGACAGGCAATTAAAATGGTTCAGTTCCTAGTAAACATTATTATTTTTTCTTCACATTTTCAGGAAAATACAGTAATTGGAAAACTGAGATGTTCAGCTTTAAAATTTTCTTCTGAGAATAAAGATTTTCTTAAATTTTTTCTTTTTCACTTTAGCATATATTTTGTTTTTATAGGCGTTTTTACATTAGTGCTGCATTTTTAAAAGCATTTAAATAGACTGCAATTATTATTATTTTTATGGATACTTTTTCTGGAAAACATTTTTAGCATTAAAGTGTTGTTTCAAGAATATTAAAAGGATTTATTTCTCTTTCTCTTTTTCAACTTTAGTTTTTCTGCTTTTTTTATACAGCTGTTTGTCAGATTTTTATTTATCTTAAATGTTTTGAATGGATAACTATTATGATTTTTTCATCCTTTACTGATATGTACTTCAATGTAACCAAACTTTGATTGATTTTCAGTAATGACTATAATCATTTATTCATAAAAAATATTTATTAATGATTTTAAATAGACTGCAATTATTATTATTTTTATGGATACTTTTTCTGGAAAACATTTTTAGCATTAAAGTGTTGTTTCAAGAATATTAAAAGGATTTATTTATCTCTTTCTCTTTTTCAACTTTAGTTTTTCTTCTTTTTTTATACAGCTGTTTGTCAGATTTTTATTTATCTTAAATGTTTCGAATGGATAACTATTATGTTTTTTTCATCCTTTACTGATACCAACAATGTAACCAAACTTTGATTGATTTTCAGTAATGACTATAATCATTTATTCATAAAAAATATTTATTAATGATTTTTTTTAAAAATGTTGCTACATAACAGATTTTTTTCAGCCATTTTTACCTTTCTGATGATGAAAAAGTAAAATATGCTGAAATTCCTACTTTTAACTTTCCATTTTTGAAAAAGTATCAACAAAATACTACTGCATAGAATTTATAGAATTTTTCACAAGTAAGCCTTGCTTTATCAGCTGTCAAAATATATAATGATTATGTGGCTTAAGTGTAAAGTTGGCTGTGAAAAAATATACCTTAAGTTCTCTGTTGGGAAAAAACCAAATTACTTTCTGAACAATCCAATACGTCTTAGAGTTTAAAATAAATAAAATAGATTGAGCTTATGATGAAAAATCAAGAGCTAATAATGTTGTACAATAGTGCTGTTCAGTATTTCAACGAACTGTGCTGTACGAGGATCCTCACACCAGTTTTTGTTTTTTAAAAAAAAGCATGATATGAGCATTGTTGAATCATCTGATTTTGATTAGTACAAGAAAAATCAAGTAAAAAGAAACGATCTCATTTCTTAAAAACATTAGATTTATAATAATTTGTTCAATGCTGGTTTTTAGGTTTAATTATAAATAATAGCAATATAATTAATAATAAAAGAATTAATAACTCTCTTAAAATTAATAATAATTGATACAGTTACATTTATTATCCATTCCTCTTTATGAGTAAACTCCACAAAAAATGCCCACTTGCAATATTTTGACACTACTACCCAAATATGAAAATTACAAAACATAGGAAAAAATGCAGAATTAATAATAAATGTAGCTTGAATCCTAATTAATAAATAATAGATAAACAAATAACATATTTTTCATGTATAACATGAAACATGTCTACTTCAATAGCACCAAAGCATTACAAAACATATGAATTGGAGATGAGTGAGTACCACTTTTTTTTAATACCTACAATTAAATTATCAGGTACATATTAATCTTTATTTAAATTTAATATAAATGTAAGAGTGAAGAAGTATTAAGTAAAATTTCTATTGCTTCTTTTAAGGCTTTACGCCTATATTGAGGTTTTAAGCATACTTAAGCATCACACGCTTAGTACAAAACATCAGATCCCATCTCTAATGTGCATGCATAGTCAGTGAGTATTTCTAATTGTCTAATTTGAAACTTCAATTTTTGGAGAATTTCATAAACTTATAGTATGAAGTTTTACAAATAGTAGCTAGTTAAATTGCTATGTCTTGTTCTAAAATTAGATCTTAATAAGCAACATCAATCTACACACACATTTCTTAAATAAACATTTAAATAGAATAAATACCAAACTTACTAGGCAAGGTCATGTTTGGTGTCATGTGATCTTTCAAATTTTGTTGCAAGTTGTTCTGATATATTGGTCTATCATCTGAACATGGCTCTAAAAATGAATCAAGATCAATGTAATCTACCTTAGATTCATCCCATAAGTTAGGACCAAGAAAAGCAGCAGATGCATCAGGTATAATATCCAAGCAATCTTTATCATCTTTTCCAAGCTGAACCACTAAAATAAATATAAAACTTACAATATTAGAAAAAATTCATGACTTGAGATATAAAAAAATTTATCAGTATACAAACCATATAAATAAATATTCATCACTTAAAAATAATTAGCTTTTTCCTGAGAAAAAGTTACGGAGCAAACAAATACAAATAGCTTGAAACAAAAAGGTGCACAATGTAAATATCAACTAACAATTAGTTTTGTGAAATAGAAAATTAACCAGGAAAGAGAAAAAATGTATAATAGATATTTTTCCTGAACATTAACTGCTATGTTTTCGAATGTGAATAACAATTGGTGGTTTAAGAACTTTAAAAGTCTGAATGAGACTACTATGAAATAATAACCAATGGTAAATGGATGTGTCCAGCAACATGCATATTTTCATTACAGACATTGGAATTGGGACCATTTACTAATTGATAATTTCAGTTTCTAATAGCAATCCAAAAGCATATGCAGAACAGGGGTGCAGAATGCGCATGATGGGTCGAAGGAGGTTCAGAGAAAATCAAGACAATCTTGAAAAAAATTTCTGTTCTAATTAAATAAAATTGGTAAAAAAATTTTAATTCCTTAACTGACTATCTAAAAAAGGTAATATTTTTCGGTATATTTTTCGCAGAATCTTATGATCTAAAATGTTACTTTTGTGCGATTTTTGGATTCAACGAAATCTTGTATTATGCTGTCGAATTCCAAACTATGCAAAATGTCGTATTCAATAGATATAAGTGCGAGCAATGCCAAACGATCTTGATTCATTGTTGAAGGCAAATAATTTTTTATCAATTTTAATCTGGAGAAAGATCTTTCTCCTTCTGCATTTGAACCAAGAATCGACAAATATATTCTTAATGCAATGTGAAGGTTAGGAAAAGATTAGTTATCATAGTAGTATCCTGAAAACTATGAAGCTATTTGTAGTATAAATATTTCTTGTAAGTAATGTCACTATCAATTTCACTGTTTTCTTTGCTGGTTTGTTGTTGTATTGTTGATCTGAAGTGTTTACATAGTTATCGATCGAACTAATCATAATGGTATTATCGATATCAACTGCAATATCGGCAGTATGTCGGTATTGCAGAAAGTTCAATAAACAAATTTGTAAATTAAAATCCATATTAATAAAAATGCAAAAAAAATATGTAAGAAAATTTTAGCATATATTTTGAAAAGAGGGGAGGAGTGGGAGAAGGAGGGGAGGGCCCAAAAACGGCTGCGCCTAGGGCCTACGAAAGGTATAATCCGGCTCTGCATTCAAGCCATTAATAGTTTTTAAGCATTTATAAAATAGTCAATCATAGATTTGACAATTTAATTGGGTATACTGCTGACATATTGCATCATTCAAGGATGGTCACCAAGAATCACAGGAATCTTGTTCAAACACACACGAGTGGTAATTCTTGATTCGTCATCGGTCAGCTCTCAATTTATACAGTTCATAGAAATTTCCAGCACATGTTGAGTAATATTGTTGAACAATTCCATTTTTTCTACACACTAGAAGAGTGAGAATCTGAGTAAGAACTTAAGTAAATGAATAACGGAAATACGAGGGCAAATCGCAAATCTTGGATGACACAGTCGATTATGAGAGCGGCTTTTGTAACTACGAAAATTTTAAAAAAATAATTTCTTTTTAAGAATAATGCTATCAAACAGATAAAATGTTCAGTAATGTGAAAATTGTGTTTCTGTTTCCAAACACTACAGCCTACTGTCAACCACTGAATCAGGGTATATTAGGGTCATTTTAGCAACAATATAGGAAGTCAGAATCTGCATCTGAAGTTGAATAAATTAAATCGTTCAGTGCCTTCATTACAGAAAAAAAAATGAGAGAGAATTTCTCACCCTTTCTCAAAAACAGGGTGAGATTTCAAAAAGTTGAGTGAGATTTCTAAAAATTAAAAAAACAAGAATAGACTTGGAAAAAAAATTTTCTTTAATTATAATACATTTTTAACATCTTCTAATTGAATATTTTTGCTGTATCATCATATGGAAAATGTTTTTCACTTTTTCATCCACTATTATATTTATTTGGCTGAAAAATATCCGTATTGGTTTCGTTTTGACCGTTTCTACCAACATTTGTTTCATTTGTCTTACGAAGTAGATGATGTCGCCTCAACAAGGTATTTGTCCATCTTACATTGATGCACAAAGAATATAAACGTCTTACATGAATAAACCTCACCTACTGTGAGCACATGGTTGTAGAGAAATGTGTTCTGAAAGGGGTTCCGTGGTTCTGGGGGGGGGTGTTCTGCTGTTTGCACCGGTTCTGAACAATACTGGTAAATAGGGAAACTAGATAACAAGAGCCGATGTTCAAAATAATGAAAAATCAAGGAAGAAAAGTGAAACAGAGTTTATTCAAAATGGCAAAAGACGAAATTTTTTTTCAAAATTCTCTAATTTTGAAATTGATTAATAGAGTGCACGAACTTCTCACATTAATGATTTTTTATTGCGAGAAAAGAAAAAAATATGTGAGATTCTCGCACTGTAGTGAAAACACTGTCATAAATTGTTTCTTGGATGAGGTAGTGAACTGGATTAGTATCAGTGGCATACATAAGGGTAACACAAGCAGTGTTGTAAAACATGGTTTTAAAAAAAAATCAGTCAATTACTTTCCTTTTTAGTTGTCTAGTAGTTTGTTTATATGGAAAATGAATGAAATTATGATTGTAACTTCAGGCATAGAATTCCAGCGGATATTTCGGCATTCTATCCAGTCTGAAAATTGCTGATTTACTGGTGAAAAATTATTTCTTGAGATAAATCATTTAGTGGTCAGATGAAGATTGACGCTTGTATTTAAAACAGGCACAAATTGAGATTTTAGAAATTCAGCTAATAGAAAAGTGGTTGGAATTTTGATTGATATTAATTTTCCTAAGAGGACAAATTTTTCTTGTAACCATCAGAAAACAATTGAAACATATGTCATCTAGCACAAAGCTTTTGTCAAAATTTGATTGCATCAACTAGTCTGAGAAAGGTCAAACTTAGGGGCAGTCGTCACCTCTCAAATTAAAGTGACGGAGCAGATAATGAATAATCAAGTAAAATTGGATATTTTGGAGAGAGAAAAAAAAATTTTTTTTTTCAATTTTAAAGCTTTTGTTTTTAATAGAAAACTTTGTATTCTTCTGAAATTTAAGGGTGAGGGGAATAATGTGCTTTGGCCTTTCAGATATTTATTCAGATATTATACAGCAGATTTTAAGCTTCAGACATTCCCCACGACAAAGTCAAGTAAAATTGGTAATTTTAGAGAATCTTGAATGGGCAGATAGCTTTATGATTTTAGAGAGTGAAGAGCTCTCGGAGTTTTGTCTGTTATTTTGATTGTCCATGTATCTTTGTATCTGTGTCTTCCTTATTAAATATGTTTGTGAACATTTGTTATTTGTTTTCTTTTTGTATGGACCTGCTATGTGTACATCTGGTAGATGTTAACCCATTAAGATAAATCAGGAACTGGCCGCACACAACATATTAAAAATGTAACTCACTCGATTCAGAATCTAAAATTTTCATCTCTAAAATATCTTTTAAAATACAAGAGAAAAAAAGCTGTTAAATAATTAAAATTTTAATAGTAGGAATGAAGTAACAACAAATATGTCTTTCATAATAAATTAAAAACTTATAAATAAAAATAAACAATCAGTTTAAAATTATCACTTCAGTTATACAATTAGACAATCGGAGAAATATAGGATTTCTACTTCCAAAAAGAGGTGAAAATCGACACAAGAATGTTAGAGGAAAAAATCCCATTCAGCAAGCCGAGCGATTAAAAATTAGCCACAGTTATCTGACCCTCCTTGTAAAGGATGAAAAAAGTTGTTTTCCTCCCCTACTCGAAGGTAGAAAGTTACCTTTGTTTCGAAAGTAATATTGTAAATAGTAATAATGATAAAAAGTTTTGACCAACATTTTCATAGTCTGAAAAGATTGAAAAATGAATAATATTTCCCTTTTTTTTTTTGGAATGATAGTTACGATTCTTATATTTAAAAAAACCCATTTCCTAAAATATAACAAACTAGCCATAGACATTACATGTTAAAACTGAACCCCGAATTCCCGTGGTTCAAAACTTTCATCTTAGAAATCACAACAGCAACTTTTTCTACAGGAATCTGATTGCCTCTCTAAAATATTACTACATCATAGGTATAATTCATGGGATATTTCTGTATCATGATCTGCCATTACATTCGTTATGGCATTAAATTGATTTTAAATGGAATTTTTTTTTTTTAAAAATAAACATGTCAATGTTTGCCCATGGGTGGCTACAAGGTATACCCTTTTTGAGTTAGTCCCTTTCTGCAATGTTTCTTTAGTTTCTGCACTGTAGCTGAATAATCGTCAAGTCTTGGCAACTTCCAGGCAGCAGCCCATGAGAAACTTTAAAAAATACATAAAGGGACTAACTCGAAAAGTATAACTGACAGCGGGGATATTTTTGGATCGTACTCTGTCGCACAAACTACAATCACCAAGGTGCCAAATAGATTTTAAACTTGCGAATTTTATTTTTTTAAAAAAACATGTAGATGTTTACCCGGGGGTGGCTATGAGTTATACCTTTCGAGTTGGTCCCTTTCTACGATGTTTTTTTAAGTTTCTCGCGGGCCGGCCCGGAAGTTTCCAAGACTTGGCGATTATTCTGCTACAGATCACGATACGGATATCTCCTCCTAATAGCCACCCCCGGGCAAACCTCTACATGTTTCTTTTTTTAAAAATTTCAAGTTTAAATTATATTTGTCACCTCGGCGATTGTAGTTGGAGCAACAGATCACGATACGGAAATATCAAACTAAGCATATTAGATTCTGTAGATTAACATTAGGTATCTTTATTGGAGTTCGATATCAACAAACAAACAACGATAGCTATAAATTCAAACATGAACTATAATGTCATGACAAGCATGAAATCATTGTCATACATGAAATAAAAACTTCGCGGATAACTGATGGATTTTTGTTTAAAATGATATTTTATCTCGTAAGATTTTACTTCGATCACTACATCAAATACATGCTCGTATTTAAATGCTAAGTAAATAAGTATCGTACCTTGCAGTGGGTTTGATATGTCTCTGCATTCTTGCAAATAATTCTGCAGAGTCATTCGACTGACATTCATATCATACTCCATTTTGACAATATTTAACTAAAGAATAACTTTGTTTTTAGAAATCTAGCAAAACAGAGATATACGCAGTTGTCACCGCTGGATAGGTCATAAACAATATTTTTTTCTTTTAAATATCAATACGAATGAAATCACGAGTTTCCTGGATATAAGGAACCCATAAGAGGAAGTGAAGATTCTATTTTTCCGGTGGCAACGAAAACTGGGTTACTTTTTTCAATCATCGTGGCGACTTTTCCTATCTGTTAAATCGCCACATCGCCAGTGTTCGTGTGCATATTTGTTGTGATGGCTTGTTAATTTCATGTGTTGAAATTTTACTGCATGGGATAGATATCTAATCTGTTGTGGTTAGTAAAAATGATTAATATATTAATTTTCTGTATTCATTTTATTTATTTTTAACTAATTTAATGTGAAAACATTGCATAAATGTTTATATATTACTTTCTATAAAGAGTAAACATCATTCTCGTGTTATTTTCCACTGAGAATGAATTTTATAATGCATTTATAACTCCACTCTACTAGAAAATTATTTTTACATGCTTAGCATTAATTGATTGAGTGGTTATTGTTTAAAAAATTTGTTAAATAATTTTTGCAGAGGAAAATTTCTGATAACCTAAAAATGTTTTCATATTGGAATATTTATTCTAACGAATGTTTTGATAATTAAAAATGTTTTAGTGGAATCAGAGTTAATATATCAAAAATGAGCTTGCATAAATTTTAGGAAATTATATAGTCTGTTATTTATGTATAATAATAAATGAACTTACGTGGAGATAAATGCTTGTGTTTTGTGCTGTTTGTCATTAGAATTTAGCAATTTTCACAAACATGAGTTTAAATACAGCTGATTTTTATAACCATTTGAGTGTAAAAGGGGTTCTTCAAATCTTGTTTTTAATTTATAATTTTAGAATTATTTTCAAAAATAAAGACAGAATTCGCGATCGCAACACTCGAATACGCCATCTGGGGAGAGACCGGTTTCATGCCTTTAGCCCTTCTCCCTTCCCTGTCCTGCTCTTTTCAGTTGTATAGGAATGTACTACGATATTTTCCCTTTTCTTAATATTTTTCCTTTTTATTCAATAAAAATATTTTTTTAAATTTCCGTGATACTTTTCTTCAGAACTATGTTTAATGCAGTTTTCAGCTCCATATAGTTTTCCAACTTAAAAGATTTTAATCTATATGAAAATCAAGAGAGAAACTAACGGACTTCCTTCCTCTATGACTTTCCACACGCTAATGGGGAAAGCATGTGAAGTGTTGTCATAGGTAGAGCGTTCTGCTCGACGCCACCTGCAGCCCATTTCGATCGCCAATTAACATTAGCGGTCACAGATTAATTTTCAAACAAGGAAGAAAATAAGCTTTTTGAAATCTGATGAATCATCATTGAGGAAAGCAGGATTAAATTTAAACCTGATATGTTTCAAACATTTGCATTTCACATCCTCCTGGTTTTCTTTAGCAATCTACCAAGTTTTATTGTTTTAGAATTTCGTAGGAATGATTTTTCAGATTTTCTTAACGTTCCTGCGTTAATTTCGTTGAACTTTACTTAGCAACACATGTATGTGTTTTCATTTAATTTTGCGCATCCTAAAAAAGCATATTAAAAACTGTGGTAACGGAGCTTCTTATATAATGAGCTTATCAAAATATATGATAGCATATATATAAAAACTTTAGTTCAAATAAATAAGTAAGATTACAAAGAGTTTGAAAATTTTGTTAAATATTCTTCCCCAAACCATTGAAACAAATGAATTTTCGAAAAATGTTATTATTCCGTTCTCATCTTTTACCTGATGCGTGTAGAAGATTCGCATCATAATGTATATTTGTAATTAATAGATTTAAGATATCAATAAAAACTAAGAAAATACTTAATTGTGGATCTCATTTTTCTATCATCCTTTGTATTTTGAAACATTTTGCAATCTGATCCTCTCTGAATCCACTGCTTTTCTAAATTATTTGACGGTCTAATAAAGTATTTTTGGAATACATTCGATGCAAATATGTCAAAAAATTTCACGCGACGTACAAAATTAACCAGTAAATAAAAAAGATATTTTGTTTCATATTAACTTTATTTCAACAATGGTTAAAAAATATAATATTAAACGCAGCGGGAACAATTTTTCAAAGAGACATTTTTTTTTCTTCAAAGAAAACTAGTTAATTTTAGATAAATAATCTCTTTGCTGGAGAACAATCAAAATGTAAAAAAGCTAAATACAGTTTTTTTTCATTCATAACTTATTTCCGAACAGTTTTGAGAAAATAAAGACCATTTCATCACATACATTTATTATTTAACCGTGTAATTATTAAATATGGAATGTCCTTAAAAGCTAAAAGAATAAAATTGCATAATCTGCCACTTAATATTGTTATGCATTTGACGCAATCCGGTCTTATAAAGTCGAAAAGAAATTTTTGAAAGTTATTTGATAATGAAATAAAATAGTTTTCAACACCAGCATTTGCTGAAATTTAAAAAAACAATCGTACGCCATATTTCACATTAATTATTAGTAAAAGAAGGATACATCGTCTGAAATGGAAATTATTGGTTAAAAATTCTAAGAACATTCATCATAGTCTCTCAAGTTTTATCACGAAATTAATCCTTGAAAAAATCAGAATATAAAATTTGAATTCGATGATGCTGTAAGTTATTTAAAATTGTAAAAAAAAACAAAATCAATATTGAACTTTTGATTTCAACAAAGGTGTCTTTAAAAATTATTTCTCTGTATTAATGGAAAATTAAGGTAATTAAAAAAAATTTATCTTTCGTAAATACCAACTAACTCCAATTATAAACTAAATAAATACTACAACAATTAACAATGATGCATAAATTTTGTAGCATTATTAAATTTAAACTTTTATTTTGCTAAATTACATATGAATTATATAAATTTTTAACTCATAAAAATATCATTTTATGGATTTAAAGAAGGAATTTTAAAAAAATCGAAAGTTTTGAAACGGCAGTTTCAAAACTTTCGAAGAATTCCAAAAGTTGTCCAGACTTTCCAAAACTTTGGAAAGTTTTGAAGTGGCACGTGCTTCCTTAGGTCCTTTCCCTAGGAAATAATGATCAAACAAACTAGAATATAAATTTCGAATTCCAAAACATCCTCGCGTGCCAAACGTCCCGCAGTGGACTGATCGTTATGACACGGTTCCCAGCAGATCACCGAAGTCAAACATCACTGGCTGCGGTCAGTGTGCGGGAGGGTGACCACTTGGATCAGTCTGCGTAGGGACCGAGGGTGTGCGGTATTGGTCCTCGTTAAACTGTGCTACCGTAAAGTGCTCGACTTCGCGCGCAGGTCGTCGGGCTACCGAAGCGGGGGTGCCATCCCCTCCGCAGAGGATCAAAATTGTGATGGCATGTCTTCGGATCATCCTCCGGGATGTTTCCCAGACCGTCGCCAATAGCCCATTGTGCAGCTCTAGTGCGACGTAAATTAACAACAACAATAACAAAAACAACCAAAACATCCTGCCAGTTTCGTAGATAATTTGAATATTATGAGACAAAATTTATTTATATTACTGTGAATGAAAGAAATTGGTGGTTGTTAACTTCCACCGGTGAATGTTGACAATAACATAATCGCTTTGGTAAATGTCCGAATTATAAACTAGCTCTAGTTAAGTCCAACTGCCCGATATACATTTGCATGGGTGTTATTACATATTAATAACATAATCGCTTTGGTATATGTCCGAATTATATACTTCCTCTAGTTAAGTGCAACTACCCGATATACATTTGCCCGGTATGCCCTATATCAATGTATTTTAAAGGTTCAGTGCCACTCCCCGGTATGTCCTACATTGATGCTTTTTTAAGGTCAAGTGCCACTGCCCAATATGCATTAAATCGGTTCTCCGAACACTGATGTTTCACCCAAGATATTAAAATAGCGAATAAATAAAATAATATCAACGAATAAAGTAATACCTAATCGGATATAACAAATATTTCGGACGTTCACCAAAGCGACTATGTGATTGTTGGCATTCACCGGTGAAAATTGACATTCTCTTGATTTCAGTCATTCACGGTAACAATTATGCTGTAAAATATTTGTCAGAAAGAAAAAGTAGTTATGAAAAGTATATATATATATATATATATATATATGTGGCCGGCCAGGTGGCCGAGTGGTTAGCGTGTCTGACTGCGAAGCCAATGGCCGCGGGTTCNTTTCCGGCATAAAAAAAAAACGTGGTTTCTTCATTTATTGAATGGGAGAATAGTGCGTAGTAGGAAGCTTTCTGTACAATTGCTTAGTTTCTATACAACAAAAGTTTTTGTACCCTTCATTTTATTCAAAAATTATTGTGGGTAATTATTTCTTTTCACGTTTCATTGTTAAATATTTGTCACCTGTCCAGGAACCTCGTGATAAGGATGTTATTGAATTTGCTTTGTTAAATTATTCACTAAAGCTGTTGTTGTTGTAAATACTGATTAAAAAGTCACTTGACGACTCTTGTTAATAATGTGTTATAAGTAAAAATCACGTACCTATAAACCCATGAGAATAGCAGTCTTGATAAAATTGGTTGATGATCAATAACGTATTCATCCTAAAAGAAATAAAAAATAAATTAACTTTCAGAATTTTTTAAAGTTATGTATTGAAATATTCTAATCAATAAAATTAAGTTATGCAATAAGCATTGGTTGATAGATTATTTAATATCTCAGTTGAATTAATTTAACTTAAATTTTTACCAAAAGTGAACTTTTTATGAATAAATCCTATTTTTAAAAAATGAAACGTTGAAAACCATATTCTTGTTGCATTAGGAGCTTTTCCGCCCTAATATTGTTTAATATCCACTATTTTAAGTTTCAATTATGTAAATTATATTAGTATATTAGTAATTAGTTTAAATTATAATTAATATATTAATATATATTATACTAATATATATATATATATAAAGTTAATATATTAAGTATTACCAATAATACTTAGATTTTGTTTTGTTTCGCCAAAAAATTGCATTTGAAGTAGTATGCATCTTTTTAAAGAAATCTTTAAATGATACTTTCATGAATTGATAACACTTACATGAATGTGATAATCGATAAATTAAAAACCATCTAAACTTTTTAAATTGTTAATAAAAAATTATTACTGGGATTACTAGATTACTTAGTTGGACTAATTGGATTATAACTATTTTTCTAATTAATTATGAATCCATTTATGCTGTGATTATCCTCAACAGTGAGTCCTAAGATCTTGATAAAATTCTGACTGAGACATTTATTTGCGACACCAAAACATGAAGTTTTTAATCAAATTGCGACTTCATGTGCCGCAAACATTTTTAAAATATATGAACAGAGTGTTCCGTTTCCTCGTTCTTAATATAAATTGTTTAAATATTTATTAAGAATTTAATCTAAATAGTGCGTAATTAATTGCGTACTATTCAGATTAAATTCTTAATAAAATAACCTATAATTATAGGTTATTTTATTAAGAATAATATAATTTAGAATAATTATAGGTTAACCTATAATTATATGCGACCGATAATCATACCAAAGAATAAAGAGGGGTTCTATAATATTCTTTGATTATAGGTCTCAGGCTAATATGCGGGGAAGCGAAGAAGTAACAAAAAGATAGTTGGAAACTATCGAGTCCCTAAGGAAGAAAGGATGAAGAAACGGCAAAACCAATTTGATTGCCTAATGATTCTTAGATATAGTTCTACCGATCTTCTTTCAATTTTTTTCTGTTTCACCTGAAAATCAAATATGTTTCGTTATTTACCCCAACTGGGATTCGCTGGTTTTCAAAGATAAAGTTTTGCTCTCGCTTAAATTTTAATATGCATGAAATTTATTTGCAGCTTCTGTCTATAGTTTCTTTTAAGTATAATTTTGACTATAATTTATTTTCCTTCTTCAGAAGAAGTTAAAAAGCTGAAGCGTCAAAACAACGAGTTTTCGAAGAATCATTCTTTTTCAGTAAAGGCTAACATTAACACACACAAAATAATTTTCAAAGCTATACATTAAGAATTAGAAAAATGTTTTCCCCTCCCCCCTTTGTTTAAATTTAAATATCTGAATCCAAAAACCAACTCATGTATATGTGACCAATATGTTTCGTTATTTTCACAGAATTGCAAATGCATGTAAATAATGCCTCTTCGAAGAAGGTCTAAAGCATTTTCAGCGTGGGAGGAAAAGAAAATCTTTGATGTCAAGCTTTGTGCTCTCAAAATAGTGTTCAAGCACAGTAAAATCAACATAAACTACAATTCAATTCGTAATCAAATACTTTTAAAGGTAAGTGTAAAGCGAAATGTCAATATAACATCAAGGAATTTTTTTTATACTAATTAAACAATTTTACAAAAATTATTTTTGTTTTAAGTTTTATGAAAGAAAGAAAAAACATTATTTCAATTGTAAAAGTTTCATTTTCTTCAATAGTCTTTTCTATTTCGGAAAGATTTGCTAGTCCGAATATATTAGCAATTGTTTCCACACTTTTTGACAATGTCAGAAAATTCTTCTTTTAAAATGTAAAAAATTTTAGAACGACTTATTTTTCAAGGAAACAAACAAACAAACTAACAAAAAATTTATCCCTCCCAAAATTAAATTTTTTTTGTATACTCCTTTCTATTTTCATTTCATTGCTATAGGGATTTACGAATTCCATCACTAGATGGCAGCTCTGCATTAAAGTACACTCTACTAAAGGCTCTGTTGGAAGTTTAGAATTGTAAAATTAAATTATCGAATTAATTACTAATAACTAATTAACTAAGTTAATACATATTTCTAAATCGAACATCCCGAAGGATGATCCGAAGACATGCCATCACAATTTTGATCCTCTGCGAAGTGGATGGCACCCCCCGCTTCGGTAGCCCGACGACTTGCACGCGAAATCGAGCTCTTTACGGTAGCACAGTTTAACGAGGACCAATACCACACACCCTCGGTCCCTACGCAGACTGATCCAAGTGGTCACCCACCCGCACACTGACCGTAGCCAGTGATGCTTGGCATCGGTGATCTGCTGGGAACCGTGTCTTAACGGTCAGTCCACTGCGGGACGAAAATACAATTTACTGTCCATTTTTTATGTTTTATTATATTGTTATATGGATGGCGTTTTCAATAGAAATGTAAACAATAACAATCTCGAGCTTCGCACCTACTCTAGTTCCGGTTAAAAAGTTTGCAGCTGCTTACTACATGTTATTCTGATAGGCGATGTTTTCAAACGGAAAATTTTTGCTTTCAATAAAAGAAATAAATTAGCTAATTTCTGAGCTCAAATCTGCCGTATTTCATAAGATATTAATGTTATTATGTAATTCTGCTGAGTTTGGAGTGAAAATTTGTTTTAGTTATTTTGTTATTTATTATTAAAAAAGGTTGCTAGATTTTGAATAACTCGCTTTCTTGGCAGTCTTGATTTGGCCTCTTTCCATTTGTTTATTACTATTTGTTCATGTTGCAAGCTGTGCACCATCTTACGTTAGTGTTAACACTTTTAGTATTGTAAACACAAATATTGTTAGCATTGTAAACATAAGTAATAAGTAATCAAATACATTGTTTGCGAGAATCTCAAAACACAATGATGCCAAATGGCTTTAAAATACAACTGAAACAGTAACCCGAAAATTTAGGCAGTCCCGAGCTTGCAGCGTTCCCTTGTGTAGAAAACACCATCCATTCTAAATCAAAACTAGTACAACTAAACACTCAACAACAAAAAAAATTGGTAGTAAATTTTTTTTAAACGCCAATAATAAGATAAACCTCAATAATAAGGTAGCCCTGAAAACCAGTCTTTCATTGCCATCAGGAAGATAGGACCTTCACTTCCTCTTACGGGTTCCTTATATCTACGGTACTAAGAAATCACATGTCATGCGCAACTCAATGAAAAAAAGTTGAAGTTAATTCTTAGAAGATGCAGACAAACTGCGTCATCTTTGCGCTCGAAATGAGCTACAGGTGGCGCAAAACAGACCACTCTACCTATGGCAACACTTTATATATTTTCGCCGTAATCATCTTCATAGTCATAGGAATTGCGTTAGTTTATCTCTTGATTTTCAAATGGATAGTAATTTTAAGTTATGTTATTATATGGAGCTCTAAACACGCAACCATCGAACGAGCTAGGTATTGAAAAAGGACTTCATTTTGATGAGTGATGGAGAGACTGTTTATGACTTCTAATGCGACATGATCTTCTGGACTTGGTCTAGGGCTCTAGACCAAGGAGATAAGCAACAACAACACAATTTTATCGTTTACAAATATAAAATAAAATAATTGTAAATAATAAGAAATAATTAGATAATCATAAATATAATAAAATTTTTATAAATAAGGAAATAAATATAAAAATAGAAAGTTATAACATTTTGATAAATTAAATAACTCTTTTTTCCATTAGTTCATTAAATCTAAAAGCACTAGATAATAAATTTATAATTTCTAAAGTTTTATAATCTAATGATGAAATTTCTGGATGATTCAATGACACTTATTTAAAAAAACATTCAAAGCATGATTCTTAAAAAAGGTTATAAATAAAGATGTATTTGATTTGTAATCTGTCGTTATTTTTAATTTTAAGAATATATCTTTTTGTCTCTAACTGTTATTAAATATAGTTTTAAGTGAATCGATTCACTTATAATTAATACACTAATGCAAACAAATTTAATACAAATACTGCACATTAAATCCTTGAAGAAAAATTAAAGATTAAAATTAATAGATATTTATTTTAGAGGACGTAATTGTGAAAATGAAAGAAGAATTCATCCCCTTTCAGAAACAATGCTGCGAACTCCGTGAAAGAGCTCAGGACCCCCTAGCGAAGGGAGAACGATTAAAGAATAAACAAAAGCCTTTGGTCACTTTCATATGACTATCGATCCACAACATCACGTCCAAAGAGGAGGGTCTAAACCTCTGTTCAAGAGCAGGGATTCCCTTCACCACTCTCTTCGGGGGTTGCTAGTTTAGGGTTATGTTTTACTCTTGCGCTCCGGTAAATAGTGACGTCACTGTCCGCTTTCGAATTCTGCGAGTTTAAACGTCACTTGACCCACCTCCCTTCTTTCTCCTCCTCTTTTCAGTTGTACTATGATACTTTCCATTTTCTTAATATTTTTCGTATTTAAATGGAAAAAGTATTTTTTCAAATTTCCATCGTGTTTTTTTAGAACTATGTTCAATGCAGTTTTCAGTCCCTTATAGTTTCCTCCCTTAAAAATTTCTAATCTATTTGGAAATCAAGACTGAAACTAATGTATTTCCTTTCTCTAAGACTATCTACACGTTAATGGTAAAAGCATGAGTAGTGTTGCCATAGGTAGAGAGTTTTGCCATACGCCATCTGTAGCTCATTCCGATCACCAATGGATGGTTGATTGAATGTAAACAATAACACGCTTCGTGAAACCGGATAAAATTCATAAGTATGTTTTTTAGTATATAAGTAAAATTCATCAGTATGTACGCACATAACTAGGTACATTGTCGAAAAAATGTGTGTGTAATGTATGAGTGTACGTATGTATGTACAAAATGTTCGTATGTACTTGCATTATACGTATGTATGTACAAAAAAGTTTGTACGTACTTACATTTCTCTGAACCAGGGTGTATAAAAATCATGATTTTTTTTAAAAAATCAAAAAAATCGGATTTTTTTTATTTTAATCGGATTTTTTTGATTTTAATCATGATTTTTTTATAATTTCAATTCTATGGAATATAATCAATTTTGTGTACCATAGATTTAAAGTTGTATTGTATTACTATTGTTACTTATGGTATACATTGGAAATAAACATTACTAACCATTATCAACAAAATATTTCTTAATAATTTAAAAGCAAAAGGTGAAATAAGAAATAAACAATAACAAAGTGATTTCAAACTACAAATCACGAAAGAAATTTTTTATCAAACAATATGTGATAATTATTAATTCTACATCTACAATATCAAATTATTTAAACAATCATTTAATTAGTTTTATTTAAAGATTTAAACATAAGGACTAATTTAGCTGCCTTTTCTACACCCAATTGATTCCATAGTTTAGTATGTACAAGTCCAAAAGTGGAAAACATCCTCTCTATCCCTGCAGTTGTTCCTTTTGCAGTACATAACAACTGTATTGCATCAAACTCTTTTTGACCTACACAGTTCTTTAGAAGCGCAATTGATTTCCACCATTCCAAGATGTTTAAAGATTCTAGAGATTCTTTATCAAACAAAGTTCCATTAAACGGAGGAGAGCGTACAATGAATTTTAGCAAAATACTTAATAAGGAGGTTTCTCCATACTTTTCTTTAACAAAGTTTACAGCTTGATCTTTTTCATTTAGTGTTAAACATTGTACTTCAGAATTAGGATCCAAGAGGTAAGCTAGGAAATGAGCTGGTGTTAACGCTTGTTCATATCGTTTAGTAAAAAAATTTTTGCAGCAATTATTATTAGAATCTTTCAGAGTTTCCTTTAAATTTTTCCAGATGTTGACAACATTTGATAAACTACAATTATCTTTTTGCATTTTATCTAATGCTACAGAAATGGGTTTTAACATTAAAAGCATATCTTCTGCATTTCTTTTAATTGCCATATTCATGACTTTTGACCTGATATTGGTGTCGATATCATCCCTATTATCCTCACAAACTTGCATGAAAGTTGACCAATTCTTGATGTAGCTTTCTAATGAATCACACATAGAATTCCAGCGCACTTCAGTTGGCCGAATTAATCCAGTACCTTTAAGCTCATTGTATTTAGCTCTAATTATTTGATGATTTCGGAAATATGTTATAACTTGTAAAACATGTTCTGTTACATTAGGCATGGAATCTTGCAAATCTTTTGCCAAAAGATTGAGCAAATGAGCTGAACAGCCATATGATATTATATCAAATTTTGCATTTAATTCGTCCCTCATTTTTGCCATATTTGAAGCATTATCAGTNTTTTATCTTATTTTATGGGTTTCGCAGCTTATGTGCAGAAAAATAAAACTTCTCAATTTTCTTTAATAATCTCTCTTTTCTTGAATTATTTCTTCTCTGTTTAATGTGTTCGCACACACATATATATATACACACATACATATATATATATACACATATATATACACATATATATACACATATATATACACATATATATACACATATATATACACATATATATACACATATATATATGTATGTTATACATATATACATTGGACAAACCTGTATACACATATGTACAAAACATGTATGCCCAATATATGTATGCATAAATGTATAATATATGTGTGAACATAATTACAATTTATGCATGTCGAATGTATGTATGTATATGTGTACAATATATGCTTACCCAGTGTATGTACAATTGTCCACTCATATAGTGTGCATACATGAATACATACATTGAAAATAGTAATCATGATTACAAGTAATTGATTACATAGCTGTAACTGCCTCTAACTGATTACTGTACAAGCTAACTATCGTACATACATTGCTATTACATACTGCACATGCAAGTACATTGTGTGAACATACGTATTGTATATATAACTTTGTACGTGTTTTGCATGAAAGCACATATATACTTATATTTTTTCTTACACACTGATACATTTTATGTGTATACATACACTGTATGAGCATTTGTGCACAAATAAATACGTTTGCTCACATACTTGGATATATTGCATGTACATACTAACCTACATGTGTACTACTTATGTATGCATATACACATAATTTATACGTAGTGCATACACTTGTACATACAATGTATGTAAGTACAGATATATTCTGCAATAACAAAGCATGTAAACATTAAACTTTTTTTACTTTAGCAAGCGTAATGTGCTCATTTGTATATATATATGCGCCTAAACATACACCATAGTTAAGTGTGCATGTGCACGTCTTGTTGTGATTACAGATAATCCTGATAACTTTTTATCTGAAATCGTTACTTGTAGCTTATGAAAATGATTACAAGTATTTTATTACTATGTACTTTTTATTTGCAGTTGTCACAATTGTATTCAATTATAGTTTTCCATGCTCATTTCTGTTGAGCAGTGAATTTATTTACTTATCCTTGACTAATGAATAAAGAATAATGATCGAAAATAATGAATGATTTATTCTTTATTCAAAATGTTTCTGACTAATGAATAAATATTTATTATTCAGGAAGATTTTGAATAATTATTTTATATTCATTATTCTGTATGACGAATGCTCATTTCTGTATGTACTATCCTAAATTAAAAAACGCAAAATATTTTTGCTCTCAAGCCTTTTCTTGTTGACCTATTAGTGGTGAAATATGATATCCTATCCACTGATCTCCAGTTTTCTCTGTGATGCACCTAAGCTTTATCTTAAGAAAAAAAAAAAAAACACTGTGATGACTTATTGACTATATTGCTTTAAGGTGTTTAAAATAAATATCTGCATAAAATAATTATTAAAATTAGGTAAAAAGTATTTTTGAAAATGATTTTCTCTTTACAAATTAGAACTATCATCTTCGGACTGAGAGATAATAAATTGACTGTCCTTGGACTCACTCTCTGATTATATCATAGCTATTTTGATATGCAATGTTAGCTCTAATAAAAGCGAAATTACGGAAGTAACAACATTATTTTGATTTTAATTCAAGGTGGGAAATCTTACTGCAAAAATTGTATCGAGAGTAGGACTAGTTGCGCCATCTTTTAGCAATATTCAGATACATAAAAATGTCGGATTAAAAAAGACGCTTTAGTAGCAAATACAATTTCAACAATGCGGTTTTTCTCTTCAGCGTATGGTATGCAACGTTGACCATATGGGCACAAAAATGACAAACGCATGAAATGCGATGCTGATAGAGAAGGGTTAAATCCTCAAATTTTGGGGTGGCCGCAATTTGAAATATATAATTCCAATATTGGAACAGTTGAAATAATGTTAATTTTTCAGCCATCTAATGTTAATTTTACTTTTTGTGCCCTTCACCATGTCTCTGGAACTAATGAAGCAACTAAAACCTTTTTTTTTCACGCAACTATGAAACTTGTTTATCCAAAAATAATTCCATCTGAAAAAATTTGTTTTTAGTTATTTTTGATATTCAACATACTAATGGTCAAAATAAATTTTGATTTATGAGGTATAAGAATTTTTATGCCAATTTAATCTTCATAATTTTAGATGATATAATCTAAAATTTGAAGGGAATCAGCTGAATGATGCTTGAAAAATAAAAGTTTAGAAATATGTCTTTTTTTTCTTTTTCTTTTTAGAGAGAAAGTGAAATATGCTAAAAGTGTACTTAATATTAAGAGGCTTAAATTTTCAACTATCTAAATTTCTAAATTGGTGCCAGTTTGTCTGGTAAAGACCGCTAGTGTGCAGTGTTTATCTGACTCCCAACACATTGGCATGTTGTTCTTGAGGTTGTTAAAAACCATAACATCTATGGTCCTCGTGGCCAACAATAGGATTCTGTGTGAGTGCTCTACTTTAACTGAATTCTAATGCATTTTATAATTTAAAATGTATATGTTTAGAAGAGTTATAATAATTTTTTTTTTAATTATCTTGGTAATGCTGTAATATTTGAGACTGAAATAAAAATTGCAGTTATTTTCATCAATTAGTTAATTAAGATATATTAAAAAAAATAATCTGTAAATAGTCTGTAATAGTCTGTTTTGTAAAAGCATTTATTATTGCATGTTTAAGAATAAGCCTTTAGATTTTAATAATTAAGTAAATAAATGTTATTTTGTCTTCTAAAAAAGTAAGTTATATTCTTTCATTTCATTCAAACTTTCTAACTAGAAAAGCTATTTTAGCCTTACTATTTGCATAAAAGTATTACTGTTTTGTTATGAAAAATGTTCAACTGTTGTCATGTTGGAGCTAATTAAAAATTTATCTTCTGAATCATTCTTATCTCTTTCGTTCTTATTTTTTGAATCTTACAAATTGTATTATTTTTTTATTTAATTATTTTTGAATATTGCATTATCTGTTTTATTCTAAAAATATATTTTGCTATAAATCTTCCATTTAATTGTGTTTATTAAACAGTAGTAAAATGTAATTTAGGTAAAATTAATTAAAATTGAATCATTTTAACTAGTTATATCTAGTTTTCAATCAAGCAATCTCCAAGTCTATATAATACAATTAATGCTCAATATAATGACCCCTGTGATGTAAATGATAATAGACATTATAAAATGAGGTTAATATATCGTGACTGCATAAACTTAGTGCCAATATTTAAATTTTATGAATACTACATTATTTTGAAAAAAGAAAAAACATGCTACACTTTCAATAGAATTATAAACTAATATGCAGTTTTTTCTGTCAATAATAAAGTAAAAGTATTATTTAATATAGTAGTACATTAAAGGGTAAAAATGAATTAAAATTTTTTAAAATCTTTTAATATTTAACATAAACTTTAGATATTAAGTTTTTTTACTTCCAGAATTTGAAATTTTGTTTTACGCGAATAATTTCAGGAAATTAGAACACTTTGTTTTTCTACTATATAATTTTAAAGAATTATATCACAATTTTTCATTATTGCAAACTAAGTGCATTATGGAGTATTGAATAATTTAACCATTTGTGCTATTCTTCTGTCCACTTCTTTAAAATTTTTTAATTTCCACTCTATGCATATGGCATTACATCATTACACTGGTTGGGAGCTGCCATTTTTGCTAAATAACGTATGTCAGAGAACGAGCAAAACTAAAATATAAGAGAATGCTAATAATACCATTGTGTTCTAACTCCAAAAGCAACCACCTCTTACAACACTTCATTAAAAGAGTGAATACAATTTTAAAACAAAAAAAATATGAATGATGAATATATTGAACTACCTTTTGCAAAGAAATTTCAAAGGTTATGATCATACAGGAAACTCTGATTTCTAAATAACGTTGCAATATAAGCTTCAAATTCTCAATAATTTTAAATAATTTATATTTCACAAATCTTTTGACTGTAGATTAAGGGCCTCCAGACACTTTAGAGTAGGTTGTTCAGACACTTAAGAGATAGTGGTTTAAATAGTTTTCTTGTAACTTTTCATAGTGAATGGGGAAAATGTTAGTTTTAGAAGTGCAATAATGTCTTACACCTGTTTCTGGAATGATTTTTTTGGGAATTCAAAAGAAATTAAACAAAGTTTTGGTTATTATATTGGGATAAACGTTTCAGTTTAGATGTTTTATGGGTGTTAAAATAACTATGCATGAACAGTAAACGGAACTTCATGTAGTAGTTGTTATAATGGAAGGGTCACATTAATTGGGGGTCTTACTAAAGAGCATAGACTCCAGTAGTTATCTGACAATATCTATAACAATTCTAAGATTAAAACTTATGAGTGCTTTGAGCAGTTTTAATATATTCTATTAATTTATTTTTTTCATCTCTCTTTGATGTCAATTTTCTATTAATGTATATTATTTTTACTATATTTTAGGACATGGGTTCAAGTTTCAAGTTCATATTAGAAATATCAGTTATCTCTGTACTATCATGCTGTTGTTTGGGTCAAAATAGTGGTATGGTTGCCTTAAGTAAGTAGTTTATTATTATTATTTTTAAAATTTTTTTTATTTTATTATACTATTTTTAGGTTAAGATGATGTATTATAAATGTTTTAACATTTCGCACTTATTTCTGTTAAATCAAAGTATGACAAAATGTTTGACAAAGTATGATAAATATGACAAAATATTGCAATATTGCAAAAGTAATATTGCAATTCTCTTATAAATAAATTTATACCATATGATTTTTGACCAGAGAAGAGACATGAATATAAAATGTAATGTAAAAAAATATGAAACAGCAAATTCAAAATTATTAAATATGCGATAAATGTATGTGTCATTAACGCATTAATAAGCTAAAATAGCAAAATGCAAGATTGATTTCGCAATTTTTTTTTCCTTTTCTTTTTTAAATACTTTTAAAATGCAGTGGTGGAAGCAGAAAATCATTCTATTGATCCAAGGGTTCTCTTGTCTTCTGCGTTGGGCTCAAAATTACAACAATTAAAAGTTGAACATTGATAGTCATAACCTCAAAATTGGGTCGGCTGTTCAACACCAGTTATAAAAAATGTTATTGAGCAAAAGGTGGCTCAGGGGATTGAACTTTCACCCCAAGGCCCCAATACTTGTCCAGGTGTTCCCTTGTTTTCTGGATTTAGTTTAAAACTACAAGGCTACTGTGTTGAACATTGACAGTTGTAAGGCCAGAAATGAGTCAGTTGTTCAATGATGGGTATAAAATAAAATATTATTGTTAGAAATTTTCAAAAATGTCTTTAAATTAGTAGTTATTTTTTATGCAACAACTAAATTGTTTATTTATTTATGTTCATGAAATTCAAAGCATTTGGATGGTTGTAAAAATAAAGAAAAAATTTCACACTTTCATTTTCACTTTAGTCCATTTTCCTAGGTATTTCAATGCAGTAAATTCAGAACATTTTCTTTAGAAAATATAATTTCCTTATGATACGGAGCGCCTTCAATATAATTGGATTTTCCATGTACCAGGTTGCAAATTTAATGCAAATGGAAGTGACCTTAAATATACTAATTAATTAGTGCTAATAATATTTTAAAATGATAATTTAAGTAAGCGCAATCTGGAAAATATGGTCACGATTGTTTGGTCAAGAGAGCTGTCGAAAGTTTGGACCTTTAAATGTTAATTTTGCTTTTTACATATTTTGCCTTATCTCAAGGACTTTTTAAGCATATAAAAAATTTTTTTTGCACACAATTATAAAATTGATTTATCCACAGGTAATTCAAAGAAATTTTTTTAAAAAAAGTTGCTTATTATTATGTTTAATAATGATAAAAAAATTGAATTATAAGATATACAAATTTATAAGTAATTTTAAAGATTTTAATTTTATATGGCTTTTAACTATATAATTTTATAAAATTTTATTTAATTAAGCAAAATTTGAACTAAATTAGTCGAAAGGTTCCTGAGAAATTGAATTTTAATTGTATACTAAGAAATTATATTATGAGAAAGTATGATTTTATTTCTGATTTAGTAACTTAAAATATTGTCTGTACTAATTAATTAGCATACTTATGGTCACCCACATGAACCATTAAGTTTCAGTCAAGATTCCTGAGAATAGCGATATAGAGAAAAAGAGCATCAATAACACTCATTGGTTTTTTGTCATAAGTTGCTAAAAATTGGGTCCACAAAATTAACTGATTTGTAATATTTTCATCTAAATCATAAAATCTTTTCAAGGGTATTATTTTCATCACTATTTTCTGCTGATATTAGTAATTGAATTTGCTGTAGTAATTTCTATGAATTTGGTATCATGTTAAAATTCATTCAAGAAAAGTTAGTTCGTTTGAAGTCTGCAGGAATATTATTCTTCAATGTCTTTTGGTTCTAAGGGGAGGGAGGGAATTCTCTATTTGCTTATTCAGGGTTGCCACACTATAGAGAGAATAGAGAAAACTTGGGAACAGGATATTTAAAAATCACCTGAAATAACAAGGAAAATGCACTCAAAGCATAATCTGTAGAACACTCAAGGCTGATATTTCAGCTATACTAAACTATTTCATTTACTACAGCATTATTTAAGTATGTTTAGCTGTTTCTTTTTTTCTCTAAGTTTTTCTAGTAATTAATACTAGTACAGTTAGTCCAATATCACTCAGACAATACATTGTCTATGATATATACAGGGAAGACACAGGATTTTTTTTTCCAGATTTGAGTGCCAACCCTGTTATTCTTGCTGAGCAATGCTTACATAGAATGCTGAAGTTTCTTCGTTTCTTCATTATCAAAAATCCCTTATTTGAAAAATAATTAATTACAGAAAACAAGTTATGAAAATCAAAATAAAATATTACATTTGAAGAAAGAAATATTAAAGTCATCAATACAATAAATCAAATACAATAAATTTCTCAAGATCGGGAATAGTCAATTAAATTCCTGGAATACAATATACTGCTTTAAGTAATAATCTACTTGCCTGCTATCATTTTTCTATACAATTGATTTAAATGCATAAATTTATTGTTAAAGCATTGAATAAAAGCTATGTTTTATAAAAATTAGGATTTAGAAATTTGATTAAACAGAATTTTAAAGAAATTATTCGAAGTGTGAAATTTTACTATCATAAAAATTTCTAAAACTAGATTATTATTATTAAATCTCGAAATCTTTGTTAAAAATAGGGTCTTATATTTGCTTACAAATAAAAAAAAATTATACAATTACATATTGAAATGTTTTTCAAATTTCTGAATGAATGTTTTTTTTAGAAAAAATCAGTTGATTTAAATTAACGAACCCTTATTTTTAATGTATCATCGACAATAAAGTCCAAATCAGTATTTATAAGTATTTAAGCTCATGGATATATTAATTTTATTTTAATGGATAAATTTGATCCCTCATGATATATTTGATCATTCACTTAGTAATTGCTACCCATAAATAATCTTTTTTATTTCAGATAATATTGGTCAACCTGAAACATCTGAAGTGTTATCAAAGAAGGATTTAAAGTCCATTCATGGTGTTGCCAAAAATATATCTTATTCAAAAGGGAAAATTATAAAGGTTAATATTTATTAGTAACATTTTTTTAAAGACATTTTTACAAAATGTTTCCTATTGAAAATTTTTTCTACAAAGAGTTATTTAAAATTTTAATCTCCATAAAGCTAGACAAAATTATTGAATGAATGTGAAATGGGTTAATGAGTTAAATTCTAATGATTTAATAATAAATAAAGAGAAGTAATTTATTTTGGCACAATGCAGCTTTAAGCATAGTAATATGCTTTTGAAGAATGCAACGTTAAATAAAAAGATACAACAAAAAATGCATTTATATAAGCTCACTGGACAAAACATTTGTCACTCTAGTGCGCAAGCACCAATGAATTGTTAGGTTTCGTTAGATGATGCTGTGGTCAAGTGACGGTCTCAACTGCATATGCTCTGCCTCAACATGATCAAAGACAAGTAGCAATCAGTGAAACATTTTTGTTTTAAGCGGAAATTGTGTGTACATATGGGTAAGTGTAAGGACGTGACTGAATGGCAAAAAGGGGCAATTTTGTTTGACTGTGCCCATAGTCATAAAGTGAATGAAGTTGGTGTTTCAATGCGAACTGTTCAATGTGTCTACAAGCAGTTGTTTAATACATGTGGTAATGTAAGAAGTTGTCAGAATTGTGGTAGGAAAAGATTCTGCATGAAAAGGACCAGAAACGTGTTTCACGACTTGTCAATCAAAATCGTTTCCAAACCTGGCAGGAATTGTTTCAGTTAGTAAATGAATGTCCATTCCAACCTGTTAGTGAAAGAACATAGTGATGGAAGCTGCATACAATGAACATTTTGAGTCTTAACACCTTTTAAGATTTAAATATATATATATATATATACTTTCAAAACTCATTGTGCATTTTAACTTAGTAGTGCTTCTTTTTTAATACAATAGATGTCTAAATCAACTGGAAATTTCTTGACGTTGTCNATAAAGAAATTCTTCTTTCTAGAAAAAAAAGTTATATAAAAGGTCGTACATGTATGACTTTTAGAATGATATAATAATGACTTTGTAGAATGATATAATAATGTACAGTGCACAAAAAAATAAATGGACTACCCTTAATAACTTTTTTATTAAAAATGTTATTAAGGGTAATTTAGTTTTAAAAACTTATTAAGTTTATTTAAGTTAAGTTTAGTAAAAAGTTATTAAGGATGATTTATTAAAAAAGAGTTTCTTCCGTTTCATCCCTGGTACTAAAAAATACTTATTTCTTCCTCGGCATTTTTTTCCACTGTAGAAGAAACTTGCTTCCCCTGTTTCATAGTTAGTAACGATTAATTAAAAGTTTTTCACCAAGCAGATTGTTTAGTAATATTTTGTAAAGTTCCTAATGAAAGTTTTATCCTAAGTTTTATTTCTAAATTCTTAATGAAAGTTTTGCATTCATTATATTAATGGGATATTTAGACTAAAAACAGTTTTATATAAAGCTTAATATGATATTAAATATAACTTATATACCATTTAATAATTACAAAATGGTTTAATACGCACTTTTTGCATCATGTTTTGCATAAAATGTTATGAGATAATGATTACAAGATATTCTAATACAATTTTGTGTTTAAAAATATACATTTTATATTTATAAATTATACTGTTTTTGAGCAATAATTGAAGTAATTTTCCTATATTTTTCAGTCCAGAGAAGGTGACTTTGAATATAGAAGATCATTTACATCAAAAGTGGAAATTGAAGTTAATTCCTTGCAATTGCAAAATGTTATAACAGAAATTAGAAAAATTATATCTCAAAATAGTTTTGCCAAATCTCTGCTTTTGGAAAATTTAGATTTTTTAGAAAACTTGGTTCATCAGGTAAAATATTTTAAATTCTTTCTCCAATCTCATCAATACTGATTAATTTTTAGATTTAAATCTTGTATAAATATCAGGCAAGCTTTTCTTATAGCATTTTTCTTCTTTTGATCAATAATACTTTCATGTATGTTAATTATTATTGTTGCTATTTATAAATTATGATTTATTATTTCTTTTTATATACAGCTCAGAACTTGTTTCTTTTTATATGTGTAATTGTAGATTTATTTTGTATGGATGTAATCAATAATATTAGAAGAAAATCAATAGTCAACAGTGACAATTTTAAGCTAAAGAAGATCATCATTCATTACTGTTTGAACAAATTTTAGAGCCGTAGTAAACAAACATTTGAACGACACTGTTTTTTGACTGAGGGGATGGGATAAAGGTTATGAAGAGGAAAGTGAAATTACAAATGGCTTTCCAATAAGCAGTTATGTGGAATTCTTCACTATTATGAGTACAAAGAACATCTTAGAAAGGAAAACAATTACTATTTTCTTGTTTAAACAAGAATTGAATGCATATATCTATAGATTTTATAATGTTACGAATGGGATCACTTTCGACAATAATAGTTATTGAAGTGATATGTTTTTCCCCTCTTTGTCATTTCTGAATTTTTAAGTCTCTTGAATAATATTAAAATGGAAAAAAGCTTGATTACTGAAGTTTTCTTATTGGGAATTTTATAGGAAAGAATTAAGGATCATAATATTTTTATACGATAAAATCAAGTCTTGTATGAGGGAGGTTAGTTAATTTAAAAATTGAAATTTATCTCATTGTACAGTTTATTTAAAATTATCTCAAGTTTTATAATCAATATTTTAATAATCAATTTGATAAACAATTTAATGACCAATTTTAAAATCAAAATTTTTTAAATGATGACCTCTGGTTTGTTCTCAAATTTTTGTTAAATGTTAATAATAAACCTAATTATAATTTTAAACTATACTGAAGCATCAAAATAGCTTCAAGTAAGAAATTATTCTAACTGAAAGTTCAATAAAGGATGAGATTTTAAAACAATTTTTAGAAGAAGCTTAGAATTTGAACAAAATTAATGATTATGTTTATGAAAAAGTTTATTTTAATTAATTAATTTTTACAGTAGAAGAGCTATATTATGCAAATTATACATTGCTAGTCTCTATAAACCACATTAACTTAACAATCTCTTAATGAAACCAAAATTGCTATATTTGTTGGATTTTATTTCTAATCCTTTTAATAATTTCAACTTTTTCCATGAATAATAATTACTTTTATGCATATATTTGTGTTATAAAATATATGTATTTAAGAATTAATAGAAAAAATTAATTTTTATCTGTTCCACATACGTATTATGTTTAGTTAAGTATAATAATATATGAAATGATCTATGAACACAAAATTCCATATAATGCAAAACCTCAAGTTTCAAGGTTTGTTTTATAAATATCTTGTACTGTGTCTAATATAAATATTATTTTAGCTAATAATTTTTATAACATAGTTTGATTTATAATCAATGTAGTTTTATTTATGTTTTGGAAAGCATATAGGGGCCTGTTAGCCCAGTGGTTAGAGAATCAGACTTTTGTCGGGAGGGGCCAGGGTTTGATCCTTGACTGATGGTTAGTAGTAAAGCAGAAACATGGGTACAGGGATCTGACAAAAACATCGTTCCCATTCAGATCTATATTTAAATTAAGGAAGTGGCCCCATAGAAAATTATGAGGGCATGTCTTTGGATCATCCTCAAGGAACTTTCTCAGACCATAGCCAATAGCTCATTCTGGAGCTCTAGTGCAATATAAATAAATTACCAGCCTGAAAAATGCTTAAAGCATTTTTCTAAAGTTTTTCTTACCGCACAAAGTTAAGCTTTTTTTGCCTTTAGAACTGCTATAGCATGTCTGATTATGGCAGCAAAATATTTTTCATTTAGTGCATATTTTTTATTTATTTGAAGACAAAATTAGCATTCCAATAATTTATTCTGATGTTTTTGTTTTCAGTATGACATTGGCAAAAAATTTGTAGACATAGGAGGTTTCCAACTTATTCTATCATTAACAAGATATAAAGATGAGGATATTTCAAAAGCTGCTTTCAATATATTGTCTGCTGCTATGCAAGGGTGAGAAATTTTTTTTTATCTATCATTTTATTTACTTCTATTGTTTGTTAACTTTTCTGATTGATTATATAAAAGTTAATGAGGAGTCATACAAAAAAACTAAGACTCTATTTATAAGACTTAGTGTCAAAAGAGAATCAATTCTTACTTACATATTACTGACCACAAATGAATATTAAAGTTAGAAAAATAAAATATTACGTGTTATCTTTATCAAGTTGTAGCTGTAATTAATATCTTTACAACCAGTTTATTGGTAGGAATTAAACTGAATTACATTCCTAATAGCTTCAGGGCTGCCATTGGCAACTAAATTACTAAAACGACTATTTTAAAGAGAGGACTACTAAGGTGACTAATTTTGTCAAAATATAAGCAAAACAATTATTTTGCAATCCGCGACAAAAAAAAACCATTGATTTTTTTCTTATTTATGATTAAAAAATATCCATTTGCAATTTCATTTCCCTCACCTCTTTTTAGTTTTACCATATTTTTATTCTTGTTATTTCGACTAAATGTTTATTAACATAACTGTCATTTAATTTAGAGAAAGTGTTAAATCTGATCCATGCCATAAATGAGTTTAATGAAATAGTTGAAATTTCCTTGTTTTGTTTTTTAGTTTCTAGTAATATTTATTATATAATTGACATATTTTACTATTCGTACAGGGCCTATAAATATTTTTTTCTGTGCAATCGGAAATAAGCTATATTGTTCTGTTATATTGTCCCCTTATCTCCAACCTGAGTTTTCATACAAGATGTGTCAAAAGAACATGGACAAGTATTTTTTAATGTAGTTTAATTAAAATTAAAAAAATTAACAAATTATAACAATAATTAGAGTAGACTTTTATTAAATTAATATAAATGGATTTAAAGTGGCATCCTTTTATAGCAATACAGATGCAACCAAAGATGCTAAAAACTTTTGAGAGAGGCAACAAATCAGTGCTGGGAGAGATCCTTTTTCACTGATGAGATGTTATTTACTGTCCTACAAGCTCATAACTCCCAGAAGATTAGGATCTGGTCTGAAGATGCTCCAAGCTTGGCAATTGTTAAGCACCTCAAAATTCGAAGCCAGTTATGGCCTGGGGCAAAATTTGTGCAAGTAGCAAACACCTCTTGTAGTGTTTAAAATAAATAAAAAGTTTACCATTTTAGAAAGGCCTTAAAAAAAGTGGCTCCAAGTCTGATTTTCCGGATATCATCTGAAGAATATCCCCCCCCCCTACTCACCAGGCTTGGTCCATTTTGGGGTCTAGGGCCTGCACTAAACTACACAAAAGTTTGAACTCTCTAAAGCAATCATTTTGGTGGGAATGGGATATATTTAAGATAGAAGACTTGCGACCCATTGCTGAAAATTGCAATAAGCGTTTGCCCCACTGCATTGTTGCAAAAGGTGCCTGGGGAGAGTGGTTTTACTTTCATGTGGAGTTGATTCAATGTGTACATGTACAGTGAAACCGCCGTTAAGCGGACATTCATGGGACCAAAAAATTTGTCCGTTTACTGGAAGGGTACCCTAACAACGAAATTTAACACCGTAAATTGTTTTTAGAATATTCTCAAAGATGTAGAAATAATTAAATAATATCTACAAGGATACTGTAAATATCTACAAGAATATTTATTTAAACAATAAGAAAGATAAAAAAGAATATATAAAGAAGTTTGATATAAATACATAATTCTGGATGTAGCTACAGATAAATAAATATAATTTTCCTATTAGCATAGATACTCAAGTTAGACATATGATACCAAATAGGAGCGTACTGTCCTCAGTCCGTTTCAATTATTAGGTTCACATCCCCTTACACCTACTTATCATTTGATAGGGAACATGGTTAATACCTTCTTGGAAAATAAACCTCCCATGATTCACAGAAAAAAAAGTAATGCATACCTGTAAGTCATGAGGACCTATGGAGATGATTATTCACAATTGATCAGCTATCAAGTGTCTGAATAAATGTTTCATTTATATAAACACCTCAAAGATTATACTTCTGTTCTCTTTTTTTTACCCCAGTTGTGTTAAATACAGTCTTCAAATTGATAAGAAAATTAAAGAAATTTTCAATGGGGAAGAAGCATTGAGAGAAGTCATTTCAACTTGAGGGGTCTCATAACCTGTGTGGTCCAGATGAAAAGATCAAAAGATGCCGATGTCAGAATTATTTCAGGAGTGCAGTACCATTTTCTCTCCTTTCTTTACAAAGATAAGGCAAGGTGACAGGAGAAAGATTGATTTTTCGGTGGTGAAATAGCTTAACAATATTTTTAGTTATGGATAAGGCAAAAAGTTTTATTTACATGCTTTAAAAATGGTGAAAAGTTGAATTTTTTTAGCTTGCAATTTATTTAGAAAAAGTAGTGTCCGGTTTGTAGAGATAAAAAACAACGTTTCAGGATCAAAATGACTGTCCGCGTCTGGTTATGGGAGTGTCCGCTTTGCGGAGAATGTACGTAATGGTTTATTCATAGAAGATTCCCGGGGAATTAAAAATATGTCCGTATTGAGAGGCGTCCGTTTTGCAGGAGTGTCCATAACAGGAGGTTTCATTGTATTTGCTTAGATTGACCGGCATTAACCTTAAACAAGCAGATGGTTTACTACATTCTGAGAGGGAAGAGCTCGGATTATTATCTGTATTTTTGATTGTCTTCATATGTGTTCCTTATTAAATGCGTTTGTGTACATTTGGGATTTGTTTTATTCCTCTTGACCCACTATGAAATATCAGGCAGATGTTTATTCATTTACATATTGAGATAATTTTGAACTGGCCGCACGCAACAGTGCCCACTTTCAAACTAATTAAATTTATTTAAATTTAATAAGGTTATATTAAAAATTGTTTGTCTGGTTGTTTGTGTCGTACTCTGTGCATAACTTAATAAAAATGAATTTAACTACGGAATTGGCACTTTTCCAAGAATCTCCAAATTTCCAATTTATTTGTTTTATATTTCATTTAACATTTTTACTGGATGCTTCTCAATTATGTTATCCTTTTTACCTACTAACAGCTTTCGTTATCTCATTACTTTATCTTTTTCATCCTCAATATGAAGGTCAACAATCATGCCAAACTTACTTTATCATATTCTAGAAAAGTAAAGTAAATAAGCCACATTTCTTGCAGATTTAAATAATAAAATTAGTTTCAGTTCAGTTCATACAGTTTCATTCATATTGCTATTTTGTATTTTTTTAGAACTTGTTTTTCTAGTCTAAACTTGTGAATGTTTTTGATTTTTTACCTTTTATGTTCTATTTCCCCCCCTCTTTTTTTATTTATTTTTATTTAGGAGAGTTTCTATACTGTTTTTCTTCTCATTTAATAAAATATTACTATTACTTTTATTCGTAAAATATTACTATTAATATTTTTGATGGAATAAGGGTTTGATGAACCATCCATAAACTGTTTTTCAACAATCCACAAAAAAAAAAAAAAAAAAAAACACAATCGTATNAAAAAAAAAAAAAAAAAAAACACTGAAAATTTCAGACATCTGAAATAGAAATGGTCCTAGATATATAAGTTAATTGGTTCTCTACTGTATTTATTACTTTTAAACTTTATTTTTAGATAACAGATCTCAGAATTAATATGTATATCTTAATTTTCCCATGTTACTATCCCTTGAACTATTTCAGTTTTCAATCAGCAACATAAAACACTCCTGTAAACTTCATTGATATAAATTGCATTTAGGCATGCACGCATTAGTTTTATTAAAATATTTAAAGTTTTCAATTCCAACTTAATTATGAAATATGTAAATTTTATCAAATTATTTTGTTAACTATTTAAAGGAAATATTGACATTTTTCTGTATGTTTTTCTTGAGCTGAATTAAATATTTTCTTACTTTTCAAAACATTGTAATATCAAGTATTTTCTTGCATGCTGTATGGTTTTTGTTAACTATTATTAGGGCTGCAAGTTTGTCGCGGGAAAAAATACCCCAAATTCGCGGAAAAATCGCGGGAAATTTTGAAAATTACTCAAATTCTAAACATAAGAATTTTTTTATAAATGATGCAAAAGACAGAAATTGCGCAAATAATAAAAAAGGCTTAAAAATACGCAACAAAAGTATTTCTTTGAACTTCAAGCAATATTAATATTTTTTTTTAAATAACCGAATTTTGGTACAAAGTATTGTACATTGTCAGATTATTCTCCTTTATCCTTCGTCTTTCATAACTTAANTAAAAAAGGCTTAAAAATACGCAACAAAAGTATTTCTTTGAACTTCGAGCAATATTAATATTTTTATTTAAATAACCGAATTTTGGTACAAAGTATTGTACATTGTCAGATTATTCTCCTTTATCCTTCGTCTTTCATCACTTAATAAATTTTTATACTTAGAAAACGATCTTTCTGCGTCAACGCTGTTTTTAGGCACCGACAAACTTCTAATTGTCACTTTTACCAATTTTGGAGCGTTTGATCTTTGATTTCCAAAACTCGATCAATTTTCCTTCACCAACGCAGTGTTGCCAGATTGGGCTACAAGTAGCGGATTGGGCTACTTTTAAAAGTCCCCGCTACTGAAAATTGAATTTTCGCTACTTGCTACTTTTTGGGCTACTTATTATTTTTCGAACGCTACAAATCTTAAATATGCGCTACTTTTTTTCCTTACTGAAATATATATATATTTTTAAATTTTTTCCCTTCCCATTATAAAATGATGCTGAAAGTTTGCAGCTTCCTTACCATTTTTAAAAAGGACATTTTTGTTGTTGTTGTTGAGAACGTTCTCGCTTCAGTTTTGGATTCTTGATATGCTTTACTGATGGAGTCTATAATCTTTCCATGTTTATGTTTCAAATCGTAGACTCGGGAAATCGCAAAGATATATATGGAAAAATGCACGGAGAGTATGATGGGGAAAATGTTTTTTAACTCCAACTATTATTAATCGTTTATCTTCTGGAGAAAAAAAATCACGTTACTCGCTTTGAAACTCAGAAAAATTAAATCCAAAGTCATTTTACCTGATGAATGAAAATAGTTGTTGTGAATGACAATGAGTTTCCAAAAAATATCGTACTGTTAAATGCTTTTTAGTGAATTCATTTCACTTTTGTAAATCACGATCTATTCACAGTTGCACGAAAAATAGGAAAATTTTTATATCTCTCTAGAGCAGGGATGGGCAAACTACGGCCCGCGGGCCAACTNAACATCTTTCAAAAAAGAACAAAAAATCCTAAAATCTTATGAGGAAAAAAATTTTTTTTTTCAGAAATGGCGGGAAAATGTATCGAATTTCGTTCTGGTTTTTCGGTTTTCCGGTTTTCTGATTTCCGGATAACGGGTTCTGTACTGTAGTTACAAGTCCCTACTAACTACTAGTCCCCCACTTCATATAAGAAACTGATCCATATTTAAGAAATCACAAGAAGCCGCCTAGGAAAAATTAACTAAATATGTAAAAAGGCAGTAGAAATTTCATTGCCCAGTGCAATAGCATGTATAACAATTTTTCTGTCAAAGATTTGATTTATAACATTTTCCTTCTTTTGTGATTCCAATTTCTTTTGTACTCTTACAGACTTCAGGAAGGTAATTACCCTCCCTAAGTGTTAGAAAGACCACCTTAGTTGACAAGATTGTGATTATCTCTTATCTCTAAACTATTTTCATGTCATTTTGCTATTGATTCACTCCCCTAAATATCTAATAAATTTTACATGTTCAATTTAAGGTTTAGGAAAATAAAAAATTCTGTTTAATAAAAATAATAAATAAAAAATGAAAATAAATAAATAAATTTTAAGCAATTTTTGCGCAAGTCAAGACATATTGAGAAATTTGCAGATTTTAGGAAAAATGACAATTTTGCGGAAATTCGCGCCGCGACAAACCTGCAGCCCTAACTATTATACAAAAATTCTAGTTTAAAAATAAGATATTCCTATCACTTATTTGCCCTGCCTTTTATATAATGTTTTTCTCATTTATGTTACTATTGTCAGTGGTTTCGGCCAGGGATGTGAGCAAAATATACTGGTACAAAATTTTGCTTTATATTTCTGTTTAAGTTTTAAATATATTTTTAATAATATATAGTACATGACCTAATCATTTATTCTTACTGAATAGTAATTTTGAAAACATTTTCATGAAAGTTGAGTACTTAAAAAAAATTTATTGGTTTAAAAAGTTGACAGATTAAATAAATATTTAAAAATTTTAAGCATATTATCATCATCATAATAGTTTTTAATTTATGATTTGATATTCATCTTAAAAACCTATCTGTTTATTTATTTCATCAGTGATATATCTTAATTTAAATTTTTTTTTCTTCTAGAAATCAAGAAGTACAGATATATGCAACTAAAACTGACCTATTAAAGTTTATAAATGACACTTTGACTTCACTTGTTTCATATCAGACAAGTAGTGTTTTACTTACTCTATCTACCTTTGTTCGTAATTGTCCTGAAGCTTTAAGCTCTTTCATAGAAAAACAGGGAATTCAAACATTGAGCCTTTTGCTCAACAATTCTTGGACAATTCGAAAGGTTCAAATGAGAATTGTTGATGTGCTGAGAGATATGACAGCTGAGATTGTGAGTATTAAGTATAGTAATATTCTGTCAAAAGAAATATTTCATGTTTTATAGTGTTATTGTATTAAATAAAATTTTATTAAAAATATGCAGCTTATAAAAAAATATCATTTTTGAAATGGCCTGAAATTACACATGCTAATACTTTTAAGTGTAAAAGATGGTGTGTGTGAAATTTTGACCTTTTATATTCAATATAAATAAATTAGAGATAAAAGCAAATTAAAACAATAGCCTACAGCAAAAAACAGATTCTTATGATTTAAGTCAGTGGCATGCTTTAAGTCTTAGTGCCCATGGGCAAAACATTGAAGTATTTTATCAGAGCTGATAAAAATCATGTTTTGTTTTAAAAAAATATGTATTAAACATAGGATTTTTTAAAAAATTTCAGGTCAGATTTTTTTTAAAAATTCTTTTCGTGTATAATGATTGAAACTCTAATAAAATGCATAAATACCTAATATAATTTAACAATATTATTTAAAAATAATACTGCTACTAAAATTTTTAATTTCTTAATACCACGAATAATGAAAAAATTAATATTAAAGTACTTCAAACTAATTACTGAATAAATGAAGTCAGTTTCAATTCTGTAAATGAACTTTGAAGCAATGTAAATGAACATGCAGTAGCAATGATTACAGGAACAATAAGAAAAATTCTTAAATCATTTGCAGAATGTGGCATAGAAACAGTAAAGTTGCTTTTGTTCAGTCAGGTTGTTTTACTATAGTATTCATTGTCCTTGAAACTAGAAACCTTGATTCATTGACAGTAATTAAATAGCAAGCAGGATGAGTGAAGATTAACTGGCAATATCTTCTTCATAACCCCAAGTGAAAAGGTCTATTATTATGCTTACTCATGCCACAGTAGTTAGCTATTAGATCACTAAACTTTTCTTCTGAGAAAGAGTTATGTTTTATTATGTTGCTCTGTGGTAAAATGTTTAATAAAAAAATGTTTAATGCCAAATGCTGTCGAATTTTGAAAACTGTAATAAGGACACTTTAAATAGGTGTAAAATGCAATTATGTATTTATTTATTTGTTACCATTTATTTTCATTTCAAAATTTACACTCAAAGTAGAACTAGCAATATTTATTGCTAATATGTATACTATGGTTTTTCATTATTTGAATAACTTAATTTATTTGACTTATATAGAGCATTTTAATTTTTATAGTATGATGATAATCCTGATACTGTTTCTTCTCTTCTGTTAAGAATAAAGAAGTAAGTTTTCTTTAAATTTTTATTTGTTTTGTTTCATAATTTTTATCATGCTTTGAAGTTTCTTAATTATCTGTTAAAACGAATTACAAATGTTGACAAAATTGAAAAAGAGAACTAGATATGATCTCTTATCATCAACTGTTAGTCAAATTATAAATATTTTGGCTCTATATGATAGAAAATTTTAAACTCTGCTTTAAAATTGAAGTTTGGGTTTTCTGATGAATGTGACTTATTTGACAATAAAAAGCAAAAATGACTCACATATAAGGAGAAAAGTAATATCATATTGTTTATTTGGGTTACTTGGGATTTTACCGTGAACATTTTTACACTGAGTCTGATTCAAATATAGCCTATATTTGTGATGGCTATTTTGATTCAGAATCCTTCTAAATAAAAAGTGATTTTTTTTTCTCTTATTTTAAATGGAGAATGTAAAGTTAATATCCCCCCCTCCCAAAAAAAGAATTTTTTTTTTGTCTCTTGGAGATATTGTTATTGACCTAAATGCAATAAAATATTCCTTCAGTTATCTGATAATTTTTAGAGACTTGATCCTGATTTGCCTATCATTTCATTACCTTTATATTCAGGGCCATTTATTTACATGTAATTATTCTTATAATTTTACATTATATTTTATAATTCTTCTCCTTTAGTAACATACTACAACCTGTATTTTTCTCTAAAATGTTGCTTTTACAATAGCTTTAGGAACAGGTTGTTGTTATAACTTTTATTGTTTTTGTTACAACTATAGTACTATTTACAGCAAAATTTCCAAGAAAAATATTATTTTGCCCTTTTAACAGCAACTGTGTTTCTAACACTCATGTCATAAGATAGTTAAATATTCTTCTCCAAGCATAAAAATTTACTCTCAAGTAAAAGATATTGTTACAAATTTAAATGTGAATAATTTTGTAAATATTCTTTTGTTGTTAGACTAAATATTGCAGATAGACCTTAAATAAAAAGTTTAAGTGAAAAATTCTGTATTAAGTCCTTAAAGACTTCAAAAATAAGTCTTAAGGACTTTTTATTAATCTTCAATCCACACACACCACTGTGCTCGGTACAATATTCTTTGAAATTTTAAAAGTCAAATAATAATTTGAAACATTCCAAGGCAATTCTAGTTTCTTTCGATTTACCTGCATACTGCTATTTATTGCGGATATAATACCTTCAAAACTAAAATAGTTTATCTTGTATATCTACTGAAACATGCCCTATGCTTTTAGAAAATATATGTAGTATAGTGGCCTTCTTGGCTGAACTTAACCACTGAAAATACATACAGTTTAAACCACTTGCAATTTATAATTGTTTAACTTGTGAGAAAAATTTAGAAAGTCAAAGTGAAAGCCATTATTGTGATAATATACAATGAAATGCTAACTTTCATACTGCATGTACTGTATTTTTACTTTTCAAGAAAGCTTTGTAAAATAACTGGGAGAGTTTTTTACAACTTACAAAACTATGAGTGTTACTCAAAAATTTATTTATATTTTTTAGTAAAAAATAATTTTTTTTAAGTCTATAATATTTATTTATGGCTGCTTATTTCTTTTCTATTAAAAACTAAATTAGTTAAAAAAAATTTAATAAATTAGTATGCTATTCATTAAAAATAATTTTTTGTGTTAACATAAAGGGAATTTACAAAAATTTCAAGCTTAACTCAACTGTTATTACAGTTTTCTGTCTGTTTATTGAATACTGATATTCTTTATCATTATTAATGTCAGAGCATTTTAGAAAATAAAATTTTAAAATTATTTTTTCAATTGCACTTATTACTGTAGCCCGAAAAATAATTTCAATGTAAGTAAACTCTTCTTAGAGACAGTAAGAAATACTCTTTAAAATTCCAATCTAAAGCTATTTCTTTCCTAATATTACATTTATCTACATGAAAATATATTAAGAGAAATAAGGAAATATAGAAAAATACATTAATTCATATGAAGTATATTATCATTAAAATTAAAAAGAAATGCTAAAAATAAAATAACTTAAAAAAGTTTGAAAAGAAGGAAAATTATATTTGCATTTGACTTTATGTTTTCATACATAAATTTTAATGTTCTTCAAAATATCATATCGTTAAAATTGCAAGAAACTGTAATTGCCTTGGATTGTTTTACAATTTGATTTTAAAAATTTTAAAGAACATCTTTGGCAAGGCCAGATTAACCATTAAGGAAACTTAGCCCGTACGTAGGGCACCAGAGGATGGGTGGCACCATAAAGCCTAACTTAATGTTCCCAATACATAATTTTTTTTCGAAACATTGTTTATAAAATTAGTATTTTGAGCTTCCATTTTAGGAGTAGTGTTTTAATAATTTATCTATGCATTCTTAATAATTTTTCTAATTATTCTAGATAACAGCATTTCTAAATAAGAATTTTTTCATAAAAAAAAAACGGAAGATGTTTTGTATAAAAAATTCTTGTTCTTGCAATGAAATTAGGTAGTGAATTTCTATGTGACAAAATCTCTATCTACTTATCCATTACAATGATTCTATAGCATACTGCTATGATATATGTTTTCAGAATATTTTCCGTAGTTGTAACAAAGTTAATACTTTAGCAATTAGATTTTTTTTATGTAAAAAAATTTAATTAAAAAAAATGTGTAAAAAATTTTGATGTAATTATTTAATAATGTAAAAAATTTGATTTTTGATGTAAAAAAACTGTTATGCATGTTTTCAGTTGTGGTGCATGTTTTTGTTTTTATGTGCCGCACAGTTTTCTACAAATATTTGCCTATACTATATTATTAATTAATATTCTTATTGCAACTGGAAAAAGTAATCAGCAAATTACGTAAAGGTTGTGTTGGCACCTATTTATTTCAAAATTTTACGTTAAATAATTTTTTATTCATTAAAGGAAGAAAAAGAAGCTGTGAAGAACCATTTTTCAAAATTTTTTTGTGGTGGAAAGGTAAAATTTGCACAAATATGACCACACACTTTGTATCAATTATGATTTTTTATGTCTATCTATCTATCTACCTATCTACCTACCTACCTACCTACCTACCTACCTACCTACACACCTACACCTACACACACACATAAATATATATATTGAATATTGAAATTAGATTTTAAGACTTAAAATATATACCATGTAATATGAATACAAACTAGTTTTTTGATGAGAAAAAAGAATTACAATTTCCTTAGGGTCTTGTATAAATACAAATGTTATATAAGTTGAACACAAAAGATGTGTAAATTCACAATGTGAACTGGATGTTCTTCGACGGTAAAAAATATGTTAGAAAGAGTACCCATTAAAACTGATTTAATTTTAAAATCAAATGAAAGAAACAAGTAACAATAAAATCAAATGTTCAATCAATTGAGTTTGGTTTAGTGCAAGTAAACTATATTTTGTACATCTGATAACGAACTTTGTTAAAATTATAATTAGGAAATAAGAAAAGCACTAAAAATTTCAAATTAAAAATTAATGACAAATTTACGAAAGATATTTTTATTAATTGAATTTAAGAATATGTTTATTAACTAACAAAGAAAAATCCATAATGATAATGATTAAAGTTTGAGCTGATCAAAATTATGAATACACTTTAATATATACAGTGTAAAGTTGCATATCCGGAATCGGTGGGACTTCCAGACGTCCGTGTGATAGATTTTTCCGTATAATAGGCCCCCAAGGTAAACAGAGCTTAAAATGATCTAATAAATGATCTGAATCTAACAAGGGAAACTAGGGAAGTGTGACTTGCCAATTTTGAAATAAACTAGTGGAATGTATGTCTTATGAGGAATAATTTTAGGGGGCAACATTCGTTTCGGCCCATAGAAGGTCCTGTGAGAGATAAAAAAAATAATTCAATATATAGAAAAATCAGTATTTTATTTCTTCAATGCAGACTATTAGTTATTGTAATTGTCTCATGCTCCAGTTAATTAAGTATTAATTAATTAATTATTTATTAATTATGTATTGATTTGCATTTACATACTCCAATTAATTTGGAAATTTTTTTTAAAAAAAGATAATAAAATTTGATGTCAATTTTTTTTTTAGAAATTATGCTAACAGGTTTTTCTGAAAAACTACAGATATATAAAATTTTCATAATGCATACATCCCACTAGTTTATTTCAAAATTGGCAAGTCACACTTCCCTAGTTTCCCTTAAGAAGCAAAAAATAAATAAACATTATTTTTAAGGGGAATAATGTTATAGTATTAGAATATCTAATCAATCAAGTACAAAACATGCATTAGAAAAAAAATATTATTGCTGAAAATATAGAAAACGAAAAAATTTGACTGTTATAAAAATATTAATTCGCCGTTTTGAACTAGAACGATTCAAGCAGAAAGGGGAAATTCACTTCATTCTGGAACAAAGCTTAAAATGATCTAAATCTAAGAAGCAAAAAATAAATAAACATTATTTTTAAGGGGAATAATGTTTTAGTATTTGATTATCCAATCAATCAAATATGAAGTATTAGAAAGAAAAAAAATTATTGCTTAAAATATAGAAAACGAAAAAAATTTACAGTAATGGAAATAATAATCTGCCATTTTTAACTGGAATGATTCAAGCAAGAAAGGGAAATTCTGGTCATTCGTTAAGGTGGGTAGGTAGAGGAGAAAAATTCATTTCCTCCTTATTTGTGAAAGGAAATAAGTGTAAAGAGGAGATCATTCAAGTTGAGGGTGAGGAAGGGACAAACTATTGTTTTCTATCCAATCATTGGCTATTAATCGAGCATAAAGGCGGGGCACGCTGATGGAGTTCTCTTTATTTTTTCTTGTATGACTGAAGGAATCTGCTAAGGAAAGAATGTTACCCCCTTTCTTCCCCCGCCTCCTAAATATTACATGGTCAGGGGAGGAAGGAATGTTTCTCAAGGATATGTATCCTTTTAGACCTATTCAAATGTTCCATTTTGACTCTCCCTCCACCTTAACACTTGCAGCCT